CTACATAGTGAGTTCCAGGCCAGCTGGGGCTACAGGGAGACCCTGTCTCCGAAAAAAGACAAAAAAGAAAAGAAAGAGAGAGAGAGGGAGGGAGGGAGGGACCGTTTTTGGACCCAACAATTTCAAAATCACACTGTGAACTGAATTGATTCAGAAGGGGATGGAGGAGGGCAGGGATGGAGCTGGCTGGAGGATGTGTGGCTGGCCCATTGTTGATGACAAGGATCACATGACGTCATGGCAAACGCCGTGGGGAGGGTGAGAGTCAGGGACTGAATGAAGACAAAGGAACAGCCAGTGCAAAGGCCCCTTGGCAGGATCACATCTGAGTGTGGGAGGGAGGGTGAGGCCAGTGTGGTGGGCGAACAGGAGATGATGGCCCAGAAGGAGGGGGCCCAGATGGGCAATGCCTTGAAGACCCTTGTAAAGATGTGGCTCCCACTTTAATTGTGGGTTTGAGCAAGGGAAGGGCAGGAGCCACTTGGCCCTAGCTGGGTCTCCCCTTACTGGTAGGAGGAACTGACTGTTGGGCCAAGTTAGAGGCAGAAACACAGAAACATGGTGACTGCAGCAGTCTCGGTGATGGTGGTGTTTCTTTATGCCCTCCTGCAGATATGGAAACTGAAGCACAGAGTCATCAAGCTGTGTAGCTAACATCACATAGCTGGTTGGTAAAACAGGGTTCAAATCTGAACCTGTCCAAATTCAGTCCTTCCTTCCCCTCCCCAAAGGGCTGGGCAGGCCCTGCCCTCCATCACTAGGAGTTTTAATGTGAAGAAACATCTGTGGGTGTTAGACACTGGGAATGAGAGCTGGTGAGGCAGTTTTGTGACCTAGGGGCAACAGGCATTAGAGAGATGGATACAGAAGCTGGCAGGAGGGGCCAGGGACTCAGCAATTCTCAGAGTCCCATGTCCTGGGGTCCTGGTCAGCCAGTGACCTCCAGGCAAAGGGCAGGACCTCAGCCAAGCCTTGCTGGCTGCCCCTCTGGCCACCAGGCTCATCACCTGTGGTCCTCTAATCAAACAGTGACAGGTGCACGCTAGGCCCTAGACACATTATGAGGGAACAAACAAGACCTGTGACCCAGGAAGAGGACAAGTTGCTCCCCAGCCTGGGAAGAGGGCACACACAGTTTTCAGATACATAAGGCTAATCAGATCACATTCCTGGCAGGAGCAACAGCAGCCACACAGGCCTCAGAGGACGGCTTGTGGTCCGTGCACTGGCAGGGCAGCAGGGCTCCAGAGACTACAGGGCTGAGGAACCACTGAATCCTGGGTTCAGACCCTAGCTCTTTCAGCCTTTGCTTGATTTGAAAGGACAAGGGTTAGCACATACAAAGGCTCAGAAGCATAAACTTCTCTGCAATCTTCCTGCCTCAACCTTCCCCAGTCTTGGGACTGTAAGTGTACCGCTGTACATACTTGATGTTTGCTGTGTGGCCTGAGCCAGGTTCTTGACCTCCCTGGTCCTTATTTTCTACCTGCACTGTAGGAACATGTGGAAACAGTCCATCTTCATTCATGAAATGAGGAGAGTTATTTATTCTGCTGCTGGTCTTCTGCTCAGCCAGGGGCCCCATGGTCTGGGACTTTCCTTTACTCCTTCATTTATTCACTCGCTCTATTTAGTTTATTCCATCACTCATTCACTAATTCACATATTTGTTGATCCATCACTCATTCATTAATTCACATACACATGACTTAAGTACCAGCAGCCTCCAGCCTTCCATGGCCTCTCTGAGCTCCATTCAGAAATTGTAACTGCTTCTGTCATGGCCCAAGTTTCCCTATTAATTTACTTATTCATCCAATGAACATTTCAGGGCTCCTGAGGGCATAGAATCCTTCCCTGGAAACTGACTCAGTTTCTCTCTCCTTTAACGGGAAGGAAATAGCTCCCTGAAGGAGTTGTTGAGATCAAAGACTAAATCATACTTCAGGCTACCAAATGCCTCTCAAGAGACCAGCACTTAAGATATATGAGCCCTTGTAATCCTCGGGTAAAGTAAAGGTTAGAAGCAGTGATTACACTATCCACTTGTAACAGATGAGGAAACTGAGGCTCAAGGAGGCAAGGCAGGCATGGCACAGCCGTGGGCAGGCATTCATTAGCTAGTCTAACTGGTAACCGCTGACCTCATTGTTCCCGCCCACCCTGGGCTAAATCTACCTGGTAACTGGTGACATCACAGATTCCATCCTCAGGCTCAACCTATGGGAAAAATGATGACATCACTGAAAAAAATGGAGTATCTGAAGTATTTACAACTTACTAACAAAGGCTTACTGTGGTGAAGGCTGGCCTGAGCAGGCCACCTTAATGGTGGTGTATCCAGTGTGGGAAATGGTCATTTTAGCTCAGGTTTGTGGGATGCTGCATGCTAACCATTCATAGACCCTGCAGTTCTTATCTGGGAATATTTAGCCGACTTTGGTACAATGTTTTCCCTATGCAGATACAGTCCTGAGCTAGAGGTGGCAGTTATTGCATAGGAAAACCTGAGGCACATAATAATGCACTCCTGGTTCCTTCCTCCACCCAGGGTCACCTGTATATTCAGAACCAAACTGTCATCATCAACATCATTGTTATAGTTCTGAGTATTCAATATACTAGAGCCACATCCCAGCACCTCACTGGGGGATTCTAGGCAGAGATTCCACCCCTGAGCCACACCCCAGTCCCTCACTGGGGGATTCTAGGCAGTGTTCTACCACTGAACTACATTTTCAAACACTCTTTTTCCTTTTTTTAAAAAAATTATAATCCTGCCAGGCATGGTGGCACAAGCACTTGTAACTCCTGAACCACCTCTCTAGCCCCTCTTCTAATTTTTTTTTATTTTGCTTTGCTTTTTGTTTTTGAGACATTTTCACTATGTAGCTGTTTCTGGCCTGCAACTTGCTTTGTAGACCAGGCTAGCATTGAACTCACAGAGATCTGCCTACTTCTGCCTTCCAATGCTAGAATTAAAGGCATAGGCTACCATACCCAGCTATTCTTTCTTTTGGAAACTGAGTCTCACTAAGTTCTTGAAGCCAGTCCTGAGCTTTCTGTCTTCTTGCATCAATCTTCTGAATCGCTGGGATGACTGGCTTACACCACTAGTCTGACTCAAAGTGAGAGTTTTTAAGAACAGTTCGTATCATCCACAGCTCTGCCTATCCCAACCTCCCAGAGTCGCCAGTCAGTTCCATACTAAGAGGGAAGACATGCGTGGCAGGCATTTCCCTGGGGCTCTGTGGGACACTGATGCAGTTCAAGTTAGGGGTGAACAGCTAAATTACCTTGTGATGGCAGAGGGCAGGAATTGCTCCCAGAAACATTTACTTTGCTAAGGTAAAGTGACATTAAGTCAAGGACAGAAGCCAGTTCCCTATACTACATGTCTGCAGACAGTCTCTTCTTTTCTTTTCTTTTTTTATAATATTTCACTATTTTTATTTTATTTTATTTTTGTCTCTGGCCCCATCTGGCCTGGAACTCCTTATGTAGACCATGCTGACTTTGAACTCACAGAGATCTGCCTGCCTTTGCCTCCCAAGGGTTGGGATTAAAGGTGTGTGCCACCACACCCAGCTCTTATTATTTTTATTTTTTAATTTTTTTGGTCTTTTTTTTTTTTTTTTTTTTTGAGACAGGGTCTCCCTGTAGCCCCAGCTGGCCTGGACTCATTATGTAGACCAGGCTGGCCTTGAACTCACAGAGATCTGCCTGTGTGGGATTAAAGGCATGTGCCACCACACCTGGCGTTCTTATGATTTTTATTTTATGTGTATGAGTGTATTGCCTGCATGTATGTAAGTGCACCTGTGTCACTCAAGCAATGACGCAATCAGAAGAGGGCGTCAGATTCCCCTGGAACTGGAGTTATGGATGATTGTTAACCACCATGTGGATTCTTGGGAACTGAACCTGGATCCTCTGCAAGAGTAGCCAGTGCTCTTAACCACTAAGCCATCTCTCCAGCCTGACAGTTTCCTGTTCAATGGTATGAGGCAGATGTAACCAGTCTCTGATTTTTCTGGAATTTTTGTGGGTATTTGTTCTCCTTTAGGATGAAATGATACACTGTAATTTTTCTCACTCAAAATACATGTTCCAAGGGTTGCAGCTCAGTGGCAGAGCACTGACCTGACATGGGAGGGCTGAGGTTCGGGCTTCCTGATTGAAAAAACATTAGACAAAATACACATCCCAGCTGAGTCTTAGGAGGCTGAGGCAGAAGGATCAAAAGTTCAAGGACAGACACAGTAACAATGAGACTTTGTCTCCAACAAATGAATATGGCTGAGGGGGTGGCTCGGTGGTAGACACCCCCTGCCCAGAATCCCCCAGTGAGGGGCTGGGGTGTGGCTCAGCAGTAGAGCCCCTGCCTAGACTCCCCCATTGAGAGGCTGAGGTGTGGCCCAGTGGTGGAGCCCCTGCCTAGAGTCCCCCGGTGAGGGGCACTTCCTGTACCATGTGGGAAGCTCTAGGTTCAATCCTCCTTTTGGAAACTTAATCCTGTGGTGCATCAACACGTCATAGCTTTGGGAAAAACAGCTAGATCATTTTAGTTTCTGGATGAGTCATCTAGGGTTTTCATGTGGGCTCTGCAGTGTGTGGTGTGGGCAGAGCACCTGCCGCCTTTCCCTGGATTCCTCATTTATAAAATGGCCTGGTGACATGGCGTCCCCCTTCAGGGTTGGGATGTAGAACAAACATATGGAAAGTGCTTAGCTCCACTTTGCAGACACAAGGTGCAAAGCCTCCTGTGTGGCTTTTGGCTGGTCACTCCCCCTTTCTGTGCCCAGCTTTCTGCTTCCATAATATGGGAATAATCATGACATCACAGAATTGTCGTGGGGGACTTGAAGCACTCCCACTTTTTAGGTGCACACATAAGGCTCAGAGAAAGGCCACTCCTCATCAAGGTGGGAGTGAAGGGGCCCTTTAACTTTCTGCCCACTTCTTTGTTCTTCCTCACAGTCTCCCTTCCCCTCCCACAGCCAGAAGCTGCAGGGCGAATACTTCAGGTACAAAGACATCCCCTTCCCAGTTGGCATGTACTCACCCGAGAGCCTCAGCCTGGCGGAGAACACATCCGATGTGCGGGATGAGGACATCTTCATTGTCACCTACCCCAAGTCAGGTACCTGTGGGGTTGACCTGGGTGCTGAGGAGTAAGGTCAAGGGAAGGGAAGGGCCTGCTCAGTGCAGGCTGCTGTCCTGCTGGGAGTGTCCCCTGCTACTCCCACTAACTCTCTGCCCCAGCTGGACTCAGAAGGCCTGACTAATCTTGCTCCCCAGCCTCCTGGGTTGAAACAGCACCCCTTGGTCCTCTCTGTCTCCTCAGCCCTCACAGCATTACCACCAATCACTGTGTGGTTTGATGGGCCCTGTTTTGCTGTGATTGTTGTTGAGACAGGTTCTCATGTAGCTCAGGCTGGCCTTGGACTCCTGATCTTCCTGCCTCAGCTTCTCAGGTGCTGGGATGGCAGGTGTGTGCCACCAAGCCCGGCCCAGATTCATGGTGTAATTTTACTGATCTGTTTCTCTCACTCTCAGAGAGCTGCGTCACAAATGTTCCCTAAATTTTTGTGGACGGGAAGAAGGGTTGTGCTTCCCTTCCTTTGCATTCTGAACTCACATATGGATATTCAGCCTTTAAAAAGGAGGAAAGAGCTGGGCGTGGTGGCACCCACCTTGAATCCCAGCACTGGGGAGGCAGAGGCAGGAGGAGCTCTGTGAGTTCAAGGCCAGTCTGGTCTACATAGTTCCAGAACAGCTGGGGTTACAGGGAGACCCTGTCTCAAAAAGACCAAAAAAATTTTTTTAAATGCCTTTTGTAACAAAAAAAAAAAAAAAAAAAACAAGAAGGAGAGCTAGTGTTCTAGTTTGGTTTCCATTGCTGTGATAAAACACTGACAAAACCATTGGGGGCAGAAAGGGTTTGGTTTACATTTCCAGGTTCATCACTGAGGAAAGCCAGGGCTGAAACTCAAGCAGAAGCCATGAAGGATGATGCTTACTAGCCTACTGGCTTGCTCAGCTAGCTTTCTTATATGACTCAGGACTACCAGCCCAGGCTCTGCCCTCAGTGGACTGGGCCCTCCTTCATCAGGTAGCAATCAAGACAGTCCCCCACAGACATGCCTACAGGCCAATCTGATTGAAGCACTCTTCCAATAGGCACTCCCTCAGATAACTCTGTGCTGTGTCAAGTTGGCAGCAGAGGCTGACAGGAGAGTGAGGCAGAGTGGCACACACCTGTAATCCCATCTGTCTGGAGGGAGAGGTAAAGGACCAGAACTTCAAGGTTATCCTCATCTTAGACTGAGTTTGAAGCCAGCCTGAGCCACATGAGACCCATTCGCAACAACAACAACAACAACAATAAAAAAGGATCTGACTCATGATGTTACTATGCAGGTGACTTACAAACACCATACTAAGCCAGACACAAAAGGAATTGAACAGGCCCTAGACTAGTCATGCTTGCCCCTTAGGGAGAGACAACAGGGTGTCAGGTAACAGGGACTGCAAGGGAGGTGGGAAATGGGGCATTTGCCTAATGAGTACAGTTTCCATTTGGAAAAATGGTAAGCTCTTGGGTGGATAGGGGTGACAGCTGCAAAACAATGTTGCGTTTAAATGCCTGAAAACAGAACTCAAAATGGTTACTATACACAGTGGAGGGACTGGAGAGATGACTCAGTGGTTAAGAACACTGGCTGTTTTTGCAGAAGACCCGGGTTCAGATCCCAGCACCCACATGGCAGCTAACATGCCTGTAACTCCAATTCTAGGGGATCCGACGCCCTCTCTGACCTCCGCGGGCATTGAATGACATGGGTGCACTTACCTACATGCAGGCAATACATGCATACGCATAAAATAAAAATAATAAAATATTTTTAAAAATACACACAGTGGAGAGGCTAGAGAGATGGCTCAGTGGTTAAGAGCATTGACTGCTCTTGCAGAGACCTGGGTTTGATTCCCAACACTCACATGGGAGGCTAACAACCATCCTTAATTCCAGTTCCAGGGGATCTGATGCCCTCATCTGGCCTCCGTGGGCACTGCACAGGGTGCATGTACATACAGGCACTCATACTCATAAAATAAAAATAAATAAATCTTTAAAGGGAGAGAGAAAAAGAAGGAAGCTCACTTGTAACCTGGGCTGCAAGTACAAAACCCCAAGAGCCTAGAGGAGCAGCAGGCACGGCCCAGTCCTCTGCAGGGGAACTGAATCCGGGAGTTGGACCTCCTGGCTTCCCACCATCCAGGTTGGAATGGGTGATGAGATGTCCTGGGTGGAGGGGAGGGGGCTGTGGGTCCCCTGCAGGGCTGACCTTTAGTCCCTTTGAGCTGGTGTGAGCAGCCCCTGGGAGCAAACCTCGTGACAATTCATGTTCCTCTGGCGCCCTCTGCTGGTGGCTGGGAACCGAGTGCGCAGGCCCCTGGAGAGACTTCTGCAGAGGCACAGGATCCCACACCACAGGCCCTGTGCTAATGATCCAAGAGGAAACTGGCCAAGGACAATTGCCATCCCATCATCTCATCTGCTGTGGGCTCCTAGATAGTGCAGGGCTCCATCCTGCGACATGGCATTCAGATACAAGGGATAAGCCAGGATAAGTCAGGCCTGCTGTCCTAGCTAGCCAGGCTAGAGGGTGAGAAAGGAGGACCCTAAAAAGGTCAGCCTGGGCAGCTTAGTGAGACCCTGTCTCAATTAAAAAATATTTGAAAAGCGAAGGCTGTAGCTCAGCTCAAAGCACCTTCCAATAATTCGCCAGTGAGGGGCTGGAAGCACGGCTCAACAGTAGAGCACCCACCTAGCATTTCTGAAACCCAGGGTTCAATCCCTGGTACCACAAAAAAATACAAAAAGAAGAGCACTGGTGAGATGGCTTGACAGGTAAGCTGCAGACTGTCCTGCAAGTGAGCAGAGATTTGGGAAGGGAATTGGCCACAGCTGCTCCCAGGAGGCTCAGGGTCTCAGGACCAGCCAGAGAGGAAGAGTCAACAAGACTCAGAGGGGTGGGTTCTCGAGCCACCATGAAAATGTTGCATCCCTTGGCTAGGGCCAGATGCAGACACATGCCCCCTCCCCCTGAAAAAAAGAGCCTTGTCATATTCCCAGCAAGAAAATGGAGCAGGTCTGGTGGGCAACTGGCCTGCGCTAGCAGGAGCCATCTCCCAGTGTCACTTGCTTTTTTTTTCTTTTTTTTTTTTTTTCGGTCTTTTGAAAGAGGGTCTTCCTGTAGCCCCAGCTGGGCTGGAACTCACTATGTAGACCAGGCCGGCCTCAGTCTCACAGAGATCCGCCTGCCTCTGCCTTCTGTGGCTGGGATTAAGGACATGTGCCACCACACCCAGCTCTCTCTCTCTCTTTTTTTTTTTTTACATTTATTCGTTTGTCTGATGTGTGCACACGTCACAGCACACATGTGGATGTCAGAGTACAACTTGTGGGAATCCATTCTCTCCTTCCACTGTATGGGTCCTGGGGATTGAACTCATGTTGTCAGGCTTGTTATCAAGTATCTTTGCCTCTGAGCTGTCTCGCTGGTTCTGTTTTTTTGGGGGTTTTTTTTTTTTGCTTTTGTTTAATTTTTGTTGTTGTTCTTTTTGAGACAGGGTCTCCCAGTAGCCCCAGCTGGCCTGGAATCTGCTATATAGACCAAGCTGGCCTTGATCTTACAAAGATCCAGCTGCTTTTGCCTCCTGAATGCTGTGATTAAAGGCATGTGCCACCACACCCAGTTCTTTTAATTTTTAAAATTTTTTAAAAATTATTTTATGTGTATGAGTGTATTGCCTGAATGTATATGTATGTAAGTGCACCCATGTCATGCAATACCTGCAGAGGTCAGAAGAGGGTGTTGGATCCCCTGGAACTAGAGTTACAGATGGTTGTTAGCTGCCATGGGTGATGGGAATAGAACCCAGATTCTCTTCAAGAGCAGCCAGTGCTCTTAACCACTGAGCCATCTCTCCAGCCCCTTAATTTTTAATTTTGTGTATATATTGTAAGGGAGGAGGTACATGAGTGCAGGTGCCCGAAGAGACCAGAGGAGCCAGGTCTCCCAGGAGTTAGAGTTACAGACAATTGTGAGGTTGCTGATAGTTGAACCTGGGTCCTCTGGAAGAACGGCAAGTGCTCTTAACCACTGAGCCATCTCTCCAGCCCCTTGGTTTTTTATTTGGTTTGTTTGTTTGTTTGTGACAGGGTCTCACACTATAGCCCAGACTGGCTTCACACTCACAGTGATCCTTCTCTCTCAGCCTCAACCTCCCAAGTGCTGGGGTGACAGGTGTGCATTACCATACCTAGAGAGGTTCTCTGCTCTGGTCCCTGCCTTCCCAGCAGGTTTCAGGCCCAGTGCTTGATAGGTGCTGTCATTTGGAATGTGATTATGTCCCCACCTTCTCACTCCATCTACCTGAGCTGACTAACCTCCCTATTCCCCTGACAGGCACCAACTGGATGATTGAGATCCTCTGTCTAATCCTGAAAGATGGGGATCCCTCATGGATCCACTCTGTGCCCATCTGGCAACGCGCACCCTGGTGCGAGACCATTGTGAGCGCCTTCAGCATTCCAGACCAGCCCAGTCCCCGTCTCATGAGCTCCCACCTCCCCATCCAGCTGTTTCCCAAGGCCGTATTCAACTCCAAGGCCAAGGTGAGGCTGGCTTGCTATTAGGAGACGAGGGTGCTAGATTGACTGCTGGCTGAGTAGCTGCCATCAGATGGTAAATACACAGGTGAAAATGCTGGCACTTGGGACCCCACCAACTAAAATGGAGCAGGTGCTAGGTTAGGCCTGGTCATGTGTGCCTGCCATCCCAGCACTCAGGAGGGTGAAGTAGAAGGATACCATGAGTTCCAGGTCAGTCTACCTACCCTGTTGCAAAAAACCCAAAAACTATAAATAGAAAAGAGGGGCTAGGGACATATGTCAGTTGGTAGAGTGCCTGGCTAGCATACATAAAGCTCTGAGCTCCATCCCCAGCACAACATAAACTGGGCTTGATGGTATACATTTATAAGCCCAGTACTCAGGAGGTAGAGGTAGGAAGATCAGAAATTCAAGGTTATTCCTGGCTAAAGAGCAAGTTTGAAGCCAGTCTGCCTACATGAGACTTTGTCTGAAATAAATAAATAAAAATAAATAAATATCGGGGCTGGAGAGATAGCTCAGCATTTAAGAACACTGACTGGTCTTGCAGAAGACCCGGGGTTCAAATCCCAGCACCCGCATGGCAGCTAACAACTGTCCATAACTCCAGTTCCAGGGGATCCGAAGGCCTCTTCTGTGCTCCGAGGGCATTGCATGACACGGGTGCACTTACCTACATGCAGGCAATATACGAATACACATAAAATGAAAATAATAAATAAAATATTTAAAAATAATAAATATCAAGTAAATATAAATAGAAACCAAAGAGAACAAAAACAGAGTAATCTAGAGTAGACCCCAGTTAGGGGCAACTGGACAGAAGAAAAGCAGATGCAAAGGCCCTAGGTTGAGTAAGGTGTGTTTTTGGAGCAAAGGAAGCCTGTGTGGCTGGAGCCCTGGAACCAGGGGGAGAGAGATAGGCATAAGATCAGGGACAGCAGGGGCCAACAGGTGCAGAGCTGTGGAACCATCTGGGGAGAGGACTGTGAGCACAGGAAACAAGAGCTAGCCCAGACTCATGGGCGTCCTCTGGCTGCAGGGATGGGCCTCCCATCCTCCCCTGCACTCAGGGCTATGGATGGGGGCTGACTGCTAAGGGCTTGGCAGGAGCAGGGAGACCAGAGAGGCCACTGCCTGGGTGCAGGGAAGAGGTGGTGACTGGATGGGATGGTAGGCATGGAGGGAAGGATCTGGGCTTGGGCCCACTTTGTTTTGTTTCTGTTTGGGGGGTAGGCAAAGTTTTGCTGTGTTGCACAGCTTGCCTCAAATTCACTAAGCAGCCTTGGGTAGCCTTAAACTTGTGGCCTTAAACTCCTGCCTCAATATCCCAAATGCTGGGATAACAGGCTAGAACATCATGCCCAGCTCTTACATTCCCATTATGGTGCTGGACAAAGTCAGGGGTAGACAGTCCAGGAGACCTGATAGCACCTACCAGCTGACCTCTTACCATCAATTTTTGATATCATCAGCTATCGGCTGTTCAGGGTTGAGGAGGACCCAGGAGGCACCTGCATCCCCAAGCCTGGTCTCCAAAGCTTCACTGTTCCTGGAAGCACTAAGGTTCCTCTTAGTACCTGCCTTCCCCACACGTGGTAGTTCCTTCAGACTCTTCCAGAGTGTTCTGTAGATTATCTAAGTCTTGGGCTTTTGAGAAGCCCAATCAGTTTTCCAGGGACCTCCTACATGGAGATGAGGCATTAACAGATTGTGGAGGACAGGACGGTGCAAGCCTGTGAAGGTGTTTGGGCTCCACAGGGCCCAGCCAACAAGCAACCTAGACATGGGGTCTGGCCTAGAGCTCTTAGCCTCAGCCTGGGAGATAGTTCCAGGGAGATGGTTCTGAATAGCCCTGAGTGCAAGGGAGGATGGAAGGCCCATGTGCAGACTCTCAGGCCCTTTGGAGAGTGGGAAGCCAGGGCTATCAAGGAGATAGCCATCTCCTGGTCAGCATGCACTCTGATCCCCCCATCCTGAACCCCAGGCCTTCCTCCTCGGTGCTTTATTCCCAGAAGCCAAACTGGCCCAGAAACAGTGTCCTCCAGTGTGGCTAGAGGAGGGTGTCCTCTGCAGGATGAGCTGAGCTGAGCTGAGCCAGCTTAGCTTAGCTGAGAGTGATTCCTGCTGCAGAGTCAGAAGAGAGGGTGCCTGGGCAGGCAGTCTCAGGGCCTGAGTCCCACCAGTATCTGACACCTTTTCTCCTTCCCTGTCTGCATGCAGGTGATCTACTTAGGCCGGAACCCCCGGGATGTGGTAGTCTCCCTGTATCATTACTCCAAGATTGCTGTGCAATTGAAGGATCCTGGTACACCAGACCAGTTCCTTCAGGACTTCCTCAAAGGAGAGGGTGAGGACCAGGAAAGATGGAGACAATGGCAGGGACTGACAGACTGGAAGAGACAAATGGGGAGAGAGAGACTGGGAGAAACTTTTAATCCCAGCACTCAGGAGGCAGAGGCAGAATCTCTGTGAATTTGAGGCTAATGTGGTCTACATAGTAAGTTCTAGGTTAGCCAGTGCTATGTAGGAAGACCCTGTCTCATAAAACAAAACAAAACAAAAATACAAAGAAACAAAATAACAGAGTGAGACAGAGATAAAGACCTAAAGACTGGAAGAGACAGAGGTGGGAAAGACAGTCTGAGAGGCAGAAGAGCAGAGACATTGTACCTCCTCTGCTTGTCAGAGGTGCTGTGGAGGCAATAGATGGAGGTGCTGTCAAAGGACTAGACAGATGGACAAGGGATGCTCAGGGTGGGGTTGGAGAAGCAGATGAGGGTCTCTATTCTTGGCTGAGGTGGGGAGACATGGGGCACCCAGAGCAGGTGGTTTTCATCGCTTGTTGGGTCCCTGGGAGCCACATGGCCCTCACACACCCTCCAATGCCTGCAGTGCAGTTTGGCTCCTGGTTTGACCACATTAAGGGCTGGATCCGGATGCAGAACCAAGAGAACTTCCTGTTCATCACCTACGAGGAGCTGCAGAAGGTAGGTTTGGCTTCTGCCCATGGCCTTCCGCCCTCACACCCTGCTTCTGAAAACTGGTGTCCCCACTATAATGTGTACCGGGGTCACAGAACATATAGAGACCTGGAGGTGGGAGGTGTGTGACCATGAGCCAATCAGTTCAAGATCAGATGGGATGGCTAGAGATAGGCAGCAGGGAGAGTGTTTCCACAGAGAGAGCAGCCACTGCAAAGGCCCTGGAGTGAGTTGCTCTTGTGTTCTCTCTGCCTCTCCCCCTGTCCTCCTTCTCCTCCCGCACCCCCGCTCTTTGAAATGGGTCTCATGTAAGGCAGGCTGGCCTCAAATTTGGCATGTAGGTGAGGAGGACCTTGAATTTCTGATCCTCTTGCCTCTACCTCCCAAGAGCTGGGATTACAGGAGTATAGTGCTGGGGATCAAATCCAGAGCTTCATGCACACTAGCCAGGCACTCTACCAACTGAGTTAAACCCCTACTCCAGCCCCTATTTTAGACCGGATCTCACTGTGTAGCTCAGACTGGCCTCAAACTCAAGATCTCTCCCACTTCAGCCTTTCAAAGTGCTGAGATTACAGGCATGTTCCACACTTAACTATGTTACCTTCCCCTGCAGTACTGGAGACTGAATCTAGGCTCTTGTGCACACTAGGCAAGTTCTCTACTCATAAGCCATAACCCCAACCCCTCACTGGCAGATTCTAGGCAGAAGCTCTGCATTCTTTCTGTTTCTGCACCCCAGCCTTCGCATAGTGTATAATGAGGAAATGACTAGCTCAGGTTAAGTGAGGGTGTGCCAGACTAATCACAACAAGAGCAGATTCACCTGCTGCTAAGTGCCAGGCATGGGAGCCCCTGCACACAGCTACGTCCCAAAGGTAGGGAGGGGAGACACATGTAAGATGTAGCCACGAAAGCCTTTCATCTAGCACTTAAGAGGCTGAGACAGGAGGACTACTGGGAGTATGAGGCCAGCTTGGGGTACACTGGGAAATCCTGTTTCAAAAAATACAAAAATAACAAAAAAGATTAAATCACTTGTTAGGACTGGGGATGTAGCTCAATTAGCAGAGTGGTTGCCCAGCATGCACAGGTCCTTTGATCCCCAGCACCAAATAAACTGGGCAGGGTTGTGCATGCCTGTAAACCTCAGCACTCCAGATGTGGAAGCAGGAGGATCAAAACTTCAAGATTATCATTGGCTATATAACTCTCAAAAAAAAATTGGGTTGGCAAGATAGCTCAGTGGGTAAAGTTGCTCGCCACCAAGTCTATGTTCACTACCTCAGACCCACATTGGTAGAAGGATAGAACCAACTCCTGCAAGTTGTCCTTTGACCTCCACCTATACACACAATAAAGATATATACAGTAAGACCCTGTCTCAAAAATAATATATATATATAATTTTTTAAAGTAGATATATTAAACCACTTAAAGTACTAGTAGCTCATCCATTTTGAGCTGTGAAAATGGTCACTTTATATGGCTATAAGTTATTACCACTGTTTATACACGAGGAAGCTGGAGCTTCAAAGAGGGTTGGTCATTGCCTAAGATACATAGCAATTCCCTGCAGCCCCTATGTTTTAGTCTTTTTCCTATCCTAATAAATTTCTTTTGATGGAAGTTTGTAGAAAAGGTTTGAGCACCATGCCTCCCTCCCTGCATTCCATCAAGCTTTATTCTCCAAAGCAAAAACTGGGCCACAGTGCCTAGCACAACTTCTGGGCCACTCCTGGGGTGTGTGGCACCACCTACATGTGTGTTTCTAGGACAGGCCTGTGGCTCAGAGGATGAAGGGTTATGAAACCAGGAATGACCTGGAAAAGCAGGCAGTGGAGCTGTGTATGCCTCAGAAGGCTGTGAGGTTGAGGGGACTGTGGGCTTTGGGGATCTGAGTCTTAGCTTGTCGTGGACTGTGTGGCCTTGAACAAGTGTCTTCCCCTCTCTGAGCCCGTGTTTGGCAACTGGGGCATGACCTCTTTTCCAAAGCTCATGGCAGGATCAGCACCAGTGTGAAGGAGGGTTCAGATCACAGCTTGGTTGACAGTTGGTGCTCAGTCTCCAGGAACCTGAGCCAAGTATCACAAGGAAGGGGCCATTTGAGCTTGTCAGTGGCAAAGGGCACATGACAGCCCTGTGCCAAGGCCTCTGGACTACAGGGATCCTGGGAGGGACATATTGAACCAAAGTGGGAGGAGGCTGGGGAGATAAGGGTCTCAAGGGAGAGGGTAAGTCCAGGGCCAGGATGGATTCTTTGGGGACACAGAGGTAGGGACATGGCAAAGGAAGGCAGGCAGGAGGGACAGGGCTGATACAGACAGGGATCTGGGTTGGGGACAGAGAGAGCTGAGACCAGGCCCAAGAGACTGGCACTGTAATGGGTGGACCATGCTGGCCGAGCAGACCCCCATCCCCTGCCCCAGTGTCTCCAATTGTTGGTTCTCTGTGAGGTGCTGCCTACCCTCTCTAACCTCCTTCAGAACCTTTTAGAACTCTAGAGGCTGGGGAGGCCCAACACCTTGACTTGGAGCTAGGGAAACTGAGGCAAAAAGGCAGGAACCCCTCCAGGCCACCCTAGTTCATTCCGACTTCTGACTCCTTCTCTTCTCACCCCAGGACTTGCGTGGCTCTGTAGAACGTGTCTGTGAGTTCCTGGGTCGGCCTCTGGGTGAGGAGGCTCTGGGTTCTGTAGTGGCCCACTCAGCCTTCAGTGCCATGAAGGCAAACGCCATGTCCAACTACACGCTGCTGCCCTCCAGCCTGCTGGACCACCGCCGGGGGGCATTCTTACGCAAAGGTACTTGTGCTCTGCAGGCTGGTCCTTAGCCTCTCTGGGCCTCCATTTCCCTAGGGGTCACGTGGAGTGAACCAAGGTCACTGTGAGCACAGATGTCTTCACTCAGAGCTCAGCAGGGGACTGCATGCCCACCTGCCTCCATCCTTGTCTCCTACTGGAACAAAGCATTCTAGGTACCGCCAAAGCTGGGCTGGAACTGCATGAGGCTAACATCCTCACAAACCCCATTTGTTAATGCCCAGTACAGAAAAATTCAGTGTTAAACCAGCTACATAATGAGTTTGAGGTCAGCCTGGGCTACTTGAGACTCTGTCCCAACAAAACAAAATAGGACTCTGTGACAACAAAGGACCCCCAAGTGATTCAGGATGGTCACCTCATCTCCAGATTCTTTCTCCACATGGTAACAGGTTTTAGATTACAAGAACTGGGGACAAAAACATCTGGGCAAATCATAACCCCCCCACAAGCAGCCCCATAACCTCACCAGAGGTGACTTGCTAATATGTGACTGGGTTGCCCTGGAGTCACAAGCAGGCAAGGGGCAGGCCCCCAGGACCAGATGAGGGAAGGACCTACACTCAGATCCTATGTCGAGGGGACCCACGACTGGGACAGCTTGCCAGTTCTAGGGACAGTGAGCCTGTCCATGCCTGTGCAGCCACCCCCTAGAGTGCCTGGCAGAGGTTCTCTGGCCATCACAGCAGTACTGGGGGCCCTACAGGGCATCTGAGGGGCATAGGGGGGAGGAGACCCTGTCTGGCAGCTCACTGAGGTGATGCAAGTTGTGAAAGAGTGCATGGGTGCTAGGATGGAAGCAAGTTCTAGACAGAGATCTGAGGGGTCAGAGGGCAAAGGACAGGGTTGGCATGAGGTCACCTGGGTGTGAGGAAACAAGGAAGTGAGTGTGGAGTGCTGTGGCCCAGTGACAAGGATGGTGTAGCTGCTCATGGTAAGGGGAGGTTGAGGGTATATCTGACAAGACCAGGAGGTGAGAAAGGATGCTGGGAGATTAGCATAAGGACAACACCCCATCAAGGGTCAGCCCAAACCTCTCCTCTGTCCCTTCCAGGGATCAGTGGTGACTGGAAGAATCACTTTACTGTGGCACAGAGCGAGACCTTCAATCGTGTTTACCGCAAGAAGATGCAGGGGCAGCCGAGCTTCCCCTGGGACGTGTCCCCAGAGGACACCAGCCCCGACGGCGAGCCTGACCCTGAGCCCAGACCCAGCCCCGGCCCAGCCTCTGAGGACCCCAACCTGGGATCCTCACAATAAACCTGTCACTCTGACTGCTCCCTTGTTGGTGCCATGTTTGTGGGAGGCAAGTAGGGGTGCAGGTGAGTGGGGGACACAGCCCACCCCTGAGACAGTGGAGTCATCCACTGCATGGCACAGAGGCCCAGGGCATGGAACACAAAGGTACTGCAGGGGGCCAGTTTGACATGTCTATCTTCCCAGTGTTTGGGAGGTAGAGGCAGGAGGGCTGTAAATTCAAGTCCAGCCTAGGTTACTTAGTAACCATCTCAAAAAACGAAATGAAACAAACAAAATAAAAGATGCATGGGGAGCCCCTTGCTGGCCATGAATTCAACAGGGAAAGAGGGTGGAGCTAAGGACTCTAAAAGTCTGAGGACCAAGAGCTGAGATCTGGACCCCTGGGTCTGAGGGAGGAGGCTGGGACCTGGAATCCTGGATCTCAGTAGGAGGAGGGGGTCTGGACCCCTGGGGGAGAAGGCTGTGTCTAGATTCTGGAGTCAGGGGGAGGACAGCTGAACTCTAGGGTTTAAGAAAGCTTTGGATACAGAGGAATTTACTTGCAGACACAAAGGGGAGCAACCTGGTCTCTTCTCAGTGCTCAGGCTGTCCCAGGCATTCCCCCGTGTCTCTGTGTCCCCAGCACTTTCCAAGCCCTTGTTTTTCAGTTCTGCGCCTCCCCTGACCTCCATCACCATGAATTTGCCTCTTCTGGACTAAGTTTACCCATTGTCCTGTGTATGGGTGTGGAGAACTTCACCTCTGTACTGGGGTCACCCCTACCATCTCCCTATACAGTCTATAGTCTATGGTGTGATGCCTGGGCCCATCTCCTCAGCAGTCCAGTCTAGGGTGAACACCTAGTGCTCTGGGACCTTCAGCTAGTGGATATCTCATGCCCATTTTCCAGATGGTGACACTGAAGCCTGGGCTGTGCTGGACTTACCCAGTTTTTTTGTTTTGTTTTTGTTTTTTATTTGTTATTTTTATTTTATGTATATGAATTTATGCATGCAGGTAAGTGCACCCATGTTGTGCAATGCTCTTGGAGGACAGAAGAGGCCATTGGATCCCCTGGAACTGGAGTTATGGACAGTTGTTAGCTGCCATGTGGGTGCTAGGATTCGAACCCAGGTCTTCTGCAAAAACAACCAGTGTTCTTAACCGCTGAGCCATCTCTCCTGCCCCTTTGTTTTGTTTTCTTTTTTGGTCTTTTTTGAGACAGGGTCTCCCTGTAGCCCCAGCTGTCCTGGAACTCACTATGTAGACCGGGCTGGCCTTGAACTCACAGAGATCCTCCTGCCTCTGCCTCCCGAGTGCTGGGATTAAAGGGGGGGGGTGCCACTACGTCCAGCTTTACCCAGTTCTTGAACAACTAATATCAATCCCTTCACTGTCCAGACCCCAGGCCAGAGGCTTCAGACATAGGCAGTGTCCTACAGGAGTTCTGAGCTGACCCATGGGCTAGCCGGCCCCATATGGCCATGGTTTCCATCAGCGTCTCCTCCTAGGGCCTAAGCCAGACACCCAGTCTGATGTGGTATTGTCTCCCAATCTCCTTTGGGCTGGGGACAGGTAGCGCAGGCGGTGGGCCGGGATTGTAGGCAGAGGGCCACCCCAGGGCTGTGACCAGGCCAGTGGACGGGAGTCCGTCTCACCCCTGGAGCCCCCTCCTGTGCCCCGCTGCCTCATCAGGGCCCTGGCTGGAGTGTCCTTGAAGCCCCAGGACTTCTTGAACTGTGGAAGAAAAAAGAGTAATATGAGCAAGTGCCAGGGCTCAGTGGGTAGAGTGCTGGTTTGGCATGCATGAGACCCTAGGCTTGAAGCCCCGCTCCCTGCACCACCTAAACCAAGTGTGGTAGGCCCATCTGTAATTCCAGCACTCAGGGGCTGGAGACAGGATGATCAGAAGGAGAATCAGAAGTTTAAGGGCATCCTGGGCTACATAGGGAGTTCAAGGTCAGTGAACCACATGAGACTCTGTCTTTAAAAAAGGAGGCAGGGCCAGGCATGGTGGTATATGCTGTCTTTAGTCTCAGCAGAAGGCAGAGGCAGGCAGATCTCTGTGAGACCAAGGCCAGCCTGCTTTAGGCAGCAAGTTCCAGGCCAGCTGGTGCTACAGAGAAACCCTGTCTCAAAACAAAAAAACCCAAAACCAACAACAAAAGGTGGATGGAGAGCAGCAGATAACAGAGCAGAGCACCCAACATGGACTGCCTGCAGCCTTACAAGAGTACGTACAGGTAAGTACACTCACACACACACCACCACACACACATACACACCATACACACATACATACACCACACACACAAATATACACACACCACACACAAACACATACATACACATATACCATACACACACATACACATACACACACCACACACACACACATACACACACCACCACACACCACACACATACACACAAATATACACACACCACACACACACACCACACACATACCACACACACACATACCACACACACATACACATACACACACTACACACATACACACACCACACATACACACACACACCACACCCCCACACACACTACACACACATACACACACATCACATACACACACATCACACCCACACCCACACACCACACCCCCCTCACACCACACATACACACACACCACACACACACACACCACCACACACATACACATACACACACACCACATACACATACACATACACACCCCCACACCCCACACACACACACTACATGCACATCACACCCACACTCACACACCACACCCCCCACACCACACACACACACATGAAAAAAAGAATATAAAAGAAAAGAAGGTAAGGAGGTTTCTGGGGCCCAGAGCCCAGGAAGTGAGGAGCGTAAGAGATAGAGGGTGTAAGGGAGTAGGAAGATGGGAGGTGAGGGAGGAGGAGAGGGAGATGGAGGAGCTGGGGGAGGAGGAGAGGAAGAAGGTGGGAGGGATTGAGGAGGGGGAAAGAAGGAGGAGGCAACAGGTGAAGGGAGGAAGGAGATGACAGAGGAGGAAGAGGAGGAGGAAGACGGAAAGGACCTAGAGTCTCTAGGGCCAGGGGGAGGCCTGGGACCCCAGACCCACAAGGGTCCCTCTCCTCTTGCCTTGTAGCTAGCTGGGAAGGAACAGGAAGCAACCAAAGACCGCCTGAGGGAACAAATATTTGCCAAGGGAGGAGATACTGGGTGAGGGCGGCTTGCCCCGGTAGCAGCAAGGACCTTGCCCTGCCCTGCCCTGCTCCCTCCTCGCCTAGAGCCATTTCTTTGACAGAACTGAAGGAAGCAATTACTCCAGTTCCCAGAGGGCAGATGGGGAAACAGGCCAGGATGCAGTCAGCCCTCTGAGGGATATAACTCTATCTGCCTGCATCCTGGGTGAGGCTGCCTGTGCGCCCCACACAGCTCTGCTTTTACCTACACATCAGCCTCTCTTACAGTGAGAGAAACTGAGGCTCAGAGACAAAGAAAAGTCTCCAGTCCAGGACTATCCAACCAGCTGGAGCAGGCTCAGTCAGACCCCTGACTCCACAGAGTTGGGGGACTTCCAGGGTTCTCCTGACTGTTCCTTCTCTTCAATACCCTAAGGACACTAGGATCCAGGAAGTCAACAAGCCCCACTCAGGGGGCCGCTGGCATTTAGAGTGCAATTCCAACCCCTTTCTGGGGCCTCAATTTCCCTATCTGGGAAATAGGTAGATTAAATTTAACGCTCTTGGCCAGGCATGGTGGTGCATGCTTGTCATCTCAGCATTTGGAAGGTAAAAGCAGGCGTTTAAAACTAGTCTGGATTACATTTTGAGACCCTCCCTCAAAATACAAAGCTGAGGGGCTGGAGAGATGACTCAGCAGTTAAGAGTACTGGCTGCTTTTACAAGAGGCTATTCTTGAAGAGGACCCAGGTTCGATTCCCAGCACCCACATGGTAGCTAACAAAATCATTAACACAGTTCCAGGGGATCCGATGCCCACTTCTGACCTCCTGACATTGCATAACATGGGGGCACTTACATACATGCCAATAACACACTCATACATATAAAATAAAAATAATACATAAAATATTTTTTTAAAAAAGCTGGGCACACCTTTAATGCAAGCACTCAGGAGGCAGAGGCAGGTGGATCTCTGTGAGTTAGAGGCTAGCCTAGTTTATATAGTGAGTTCCAGGCCAGCCAGGGCTGTACAGTTAAACCTTGTCTCAAAAACAAAACAAAACAAAAAAACACCTGGCTTTGTGCTTTGGGTTTGGGGTTCAGGGCAGGCCCCCACGACCTGGTACACAAGGACCAATCCTCTCTCTCAGCCTACTGCTTCAGTTCTCTTCAGCAGTGGTCTTACCTCCTTATCTCCATCACTAGAGCCAGAGAGCTGTGACAGGCGGCTGAGGTCCCACAGGGAGCGGCTGGGTCTGGTTGGGGGGCCGCTAGCAGTCCTGGTACGCTGTACACTCCTCAGGATGTCACTGAGAGCAGGCCCTATGGCAGCGGGGGCCTCCAGTCTGTCCCCTTCAAGTATTCGGCAGGAAGCCAGGCGGTGGGCCAGAGGCCCATCAGGTAGCAGTGGGGCCACAGGGGCCACGGGACAGCGGAGAGCCACATGGTGTGGGTTTCGGGACAGCTGTGGGTTCCCCGGAGGGCTGAGCAGGGGGCTCCTGGCAGGTGCTGGTGGGAGTGGCCTGGAGGCAGCATACAGCGTTCGGAATTCCCGGCTGAAGGCATCTACAATTTCCCCGGTGAGCAGGGTCACCAGGCCCCTGTGCAGGCGTGCATCGCTCCACGTGAAGCTAGGGGCACAGAGAGGTGGTAAGGAGCTCTGCAGGGTAGCTCCCATCCAGGTCCCTAGTCTGTGTAACTAGGTAGGTCCTGACCTCATCTGCCTTAGCTGTCTACTTGTGGCCAATCAGAACTGACCTGGGACATGAGTAAGATTTTTTTTTAACTTTGAGCCTGTGTCTTCCTGTACCCCTGACTGTCTCAGAACTCCCTATATATAGACTAGGCTAGCCTCAATCTCATAGTGATCTGCCCATGTCTCTACCTCCCCAGTGCTGGGATTAAAGGTATGGGCCACCACACCTGACTGAAATAAGATTATTACATCAAGCCAGGTGTGGTGGCACAGGCCTTTAATCTCAGCATTTGGGAGGCAGAGGCAGGTGGGTCTCTTCTTTGAGTTCAAAGCCAGCCAGGGTTACACAGTGAGACTCTAAAAAAAACCTAAGCCTGGGGGCACGGGCCTATAATCCTAGCATTCAGGAAGTCGAGGCAGAGGAATTGCTTTAAGTCTGTAGCCCAGTCAGAGAAACACAGCAAGACTCTGATTCAGAAAGAAAAAAAAAAACGCACAAAACAACAAAAAACCCTGCTTGGTGTGGGCATGGTGGTGCATGCCTGTAATCTTAGCAATTGGAAGGTGGAGGCTGGAGGATCAGAAGTTCAAGGTCATCCTCCCTCCAGGGGTTGGAGAAATGGCTCAGTGTTTAGGCAGAGGGCCTGGGGTCAGTTCCAGCACCCACATGGTGGCTCACAACGGCCTGTAACTCTAGTTCCAGGGGATCCAACACCTTTTGACTTCCACAGACAATGTACACACGCAATGCACTTACATGCAAAGCAAGCAAGCACTCATATACATAAAAATAAAAATAAATCTTGAAAATAAAGAAACCATCTTATGGCAATCACCTGTAGTTAGACAAGCTTAAACTTGGACTCTGTCCTGTCGTGGACAGGTTAGTTTTCTGACACCAATAGGGTCATTTTAAATGTCAGGCTCACCAGAAATGCTGCATTTACTAAGCATGTGTTGTGTGCTCTGAGCTGTACTTATGCCACATGGAGCAAGTACACTGCATGGGGCCTGTGGGCTACAGAAGTCAGAACCCACATCGTCCTCATCTCCACATGGCTGTGGCTTAACATACCTCCAGCACAGATCTGAGCACACAGCATGTGCTTAGTAAAGGTGTCTCATACCCAGCTCAGAGACCTTGAATGCGTCAGACACGCCTCCAGAGCCCATCAGGAATGCAGGGTGGCCATGGCCAGGCAGAGCTTATTAGAGTGTAGATGTCCTTCAAGCATCCTCACCTTGACAGGTGACAGTCCTGGTCCCCTCAGCCTGTAATGGGCCAGGATGTGACCCTCCCCCACTCAAAGCAGCCAGGGAATCCTAAGGGTCTATGAGGTCACCAAGTTCCATGGCCCAAAGGCTTGTGGGCAGGGGTGCTGGCCCATCTCCATCCCAAGGATTCAAGAGAGACACATTGTATTGGGAACCAGGGACATTCCAAGAGCTGACCCCTGAGGCCAGGACGAGGGGAGGGAGGCATTCAGGGAGGTCACATTTGGCCATCCAGGAGGTCAAGGAAGCCCCCATCCTGGCTTGGGTGCAGTCCACATCGCCAGGCCACCATGGTCCTCGGCTGGCTGCTGCTTCTGGTGTCTTTCCTGTTCCCCAAGGTGACAGGCATCAAGGACTGTGTCTTCTGTGAGCTGACTGACTCCACTCAGTGCCCAGGCATCCACATGCGCTGTGGGGATGACGAGGACTGCTTCACGGGCCATGGGGTAGCCCAGGGCATGGGGCCCATCATCAACAAAGGCTGCGTGCACTCTACCAGCTGTGGTCGTGAAGAACCCGTCAGCTACATGGGCCTCACCTACAGCCTCACCACCACCTGCTGTGCCGGTCATCTGTGCAATGGGGTTGCCGGCCCTGCCAAGGGGGCTGCTAGCCTGGTGCTGTGCCTACTGCTGCTGCTCCAACGCTGGCTGTGATCCATCGGGACCGCAGGGCCTGGGGCTGTGCCCCATGTCCCTATTTCCACCCCTTCGCCCCATTAAATGGCCAGAGGTGTGGACTACCTCCTGTGGCCCTGGCTTCATCTGCTCCAGGGCCCCTGGGTATCCAGGCTGGCAAAGGCCCTGGCTTGACCTAGCGGGGGTGTGGCCTGTGAGCCTCCCTTCTCTGCTGTATTCCATTGGTCCTAAGATGCACATTTTTTAGTTTCCTCAGATGCTTCTTTGTGTTGGCGGCACCCTAGAGTTGGTGAGATGTGGTAAAAAGTACTAATAACAGCTGGGGTTTCAGGGCACATTTTTTGTGGGACAGGGAGGCTTTTTGAGACAGGGTCACCTATATCTGAGGATGGCCTCAACTCTACATAGGTGAGAATGGCTTTGAACTTCTGGTCCTGATTACAGGGGTGCACCACCATGCCTGGTTCATGTAGTGCTGGGGATAGAACGCAAAGCTTTCATGCATGCTAGGCAAACACCAGACCAACTGAGCTACCTCCCTTCTTTTTGGCTTTTTGAGACAGGGTCGCCTGTATCCCAGGATGGTCTCAACTCCACTTAGCTGAGGATGGCCTAGAACTCCTTGATCTTCCTTCCTCCACCTTCTGAGTGCTGGGAGACAGTTGTATGTCACCACACCCAGCTTTGAAGCACTTGCATAAGTCACACAGTTATTAGCTGGCAGGGTGAAGATCTGAATCCAGGCCATCTGGCATCCAGAGTCCACACCTCAGTTTCCCAGGCTGGGATTCACAAGGGCAGAGTGATACAGCCCAGGCCACTTACCTGGCCAGCAGCTGGGCCAGCACCAAGAGTTCTCCGAGACAATACCTCCTCTTCAGGAAAAGCATATGGATCCATTTTATAGATAAGGATGGAGCAGCGAGGCCCAGAAAGGATCCCACCCCCACCCCTCAATCCTCTGAGGGCTGGTTAAGGCATACCACAGGGAACACACCTGTAGGATCCAGAGATGACCCTGTCACCATCCAGCAGCAGGAACTTCTCTCGTACATGGCCACTCACCTGCCGTCGCCAGCGGCTCTGGAAAGTGTGGCCCTGCACTGTTCGAATGTCCAGGTTCTAGAAGGCACACCCTTTTTCAGGCCCACACCATGGAGTACCTCTGGGGTACCTCTGGGTTGGCTCTAAATTGGTACTCTACAATCCTGGCATTCCGGAGCCACCAATACCAAGCCTCAGGAGTCTTAGGGATATACAACTCAGGCCCAGGACCCCACTTCCTCCAGTGACATGGACATCAGACTCAGGGGACCCACAGAAAGGTCTTCCTCTGAGGAATAGGAACTCTTAGATCCCCCTACCTCAGTGGCCCAGGGGTTCACCCCCAGCTGCTGGGCCAGCGCCAGGAAGGCAGGCAGCTGCTGACCATCGAGCAGTAGATAAACAGGTACCCAGCGTCGTGTGGCAGCATCCACCATGTCTGTGAGCAGGTCAGGGTCAGTGAAGACATCCATGACCACAGCCACCAGCTGGGAGTGGGAAGAAGGGTGGGAAATGGATCCAGGGATTGGGGGGATGGGCCTCTGGCACTGGCTTCCACCGGATGCTCAGGTGTTTCAGGGAGACCCCCCAGGGCATTGAATGAGTCAGGCCACCCTTTTGGAAACTCCAGTTCCCAGCTACTGGGAAACTGTAATCTCCATCTGATCACCAGTCAGTTATACCCCACAGTGCCCAAGGTCCACAGCAGCCCTGCTGTAGTTCAGGGCTGCACCTCAGTCTTCTAGAATGGTCTGGGTGGTGGGTGTCAAGAAGGCCAGGCCACCAAGGAGTGTTTTAGGGATCCTGGTATGCTCAGAGCTTAACCTTGCAGGCAGAAAAGGTCATGGAAACAACCCTGACTCCACCCGTTACACACAGGCAAGAGCTTAACATCATGTCTCAGTTTCCCCAAGTCCTCTGTGGGCACAGTAACAGTACCTATCACACAGGGCTCTCAGAAGGCTGTATACATTAACCCATGTAGACCCTTTGGCATTGAAATCAGGGAGACCCACCCAAAACTTTAGCTAAGGATTGAGCTTCAGGGGGCTTGTAGGTCTGAGGGAGCAAGGATGATGCCTGGGCCCTGGATTTCTGGGGTTCCAGGGCTGTGGGTTCCTGGCTATGGGATATGCCCTTGAAAATTACAGGGGCAAAGGAAGCGTATGTTCTGGTCATGGGAGGTTGCACCCACCTTTTGAGCAGCCTGGATCTCCTGACGTACCAGCTCCTTGATAGGTGGCTGGCCCTCACCCGGTGGTTGGGTGTACAGCTGTGCCCGGGTGATGCCTTTCCAGGCAGTGTCCTCCAGCCAGCCCAGCTGCAGCAGAGGTGCCGGCTCCTCTGACTGTCCAGGCCAGTAGGTCAGGCTGCCCACATCCTCCTGAGTGGTGATGGCAGCTCCTACACCTGCCCAGCCAAAATCGTGGCTGGGAACTGTCCAGTCTTGAGCGGCTGCAGCCAAGGCCCGAACCTCATCTGCACTCAGGAAGGGCCGCAGCCTCTCCTGCCGCAGGCAGGTCCGGAAGGCCTCCTCACCACTGCTCAGAAGAGCTTCAAGGGCTAGCCGCTGGCCCTCAGAATACAGGAAACCAGGGCTGGCCTCAGTCAAGGGTAGCTCACCAGTCCCTGATTCTACTCCTTCTAGTGCAGCTAGCTGGGAGGCCGCCATTGCAGCCACACAGTTAGGGCCTGGAGAGTCTGGGCTGTCTGGGGTTTGGCTGGCTTTGGGGGACTGATCATCTGGGGTCTTCTGACAAATAGCTTATGAAGCCACTCAAAACCCTCAGGGTAAACCTGCAAACATCCACTTGGTTCCCTAGAGTTGTTCCTGGCTCACAGCCTCAAGATTGTACCCATGCTCCTCACACCAGCATGCTTGGTCTAAACTGCCTGTTGGCCACCTCTACCACTCTGGCCCATCCGAGGAATGCCTCTGCCAGACCACAAGACCTCTAGTTTGGGGCCACAGCCCCCTCAGCCAACTCTTGGCTACCCCAGGCCTGTCAGGACAATGACCTGTCTGCCCCAGCAGGTCTGGCTACCTGCCCAACCATCTCCAGCCAAATGGCTGCCTACTAGTCCCCAAACACCCAATCCCTAACCAAAGGCAGGATGGCCTGCCACTGACTTGGTCTATGGGCCCTGACCCACTCTTCCCAGTTTCTTCCACTGTTGTCTGGCAGATAATCTCAGCATCTGCCCATCTTCCTTGGTCTAAGCAAGCTCTTCCTGCCCACTGCTGGCTCACCAGCTCCCACATACTGACCGAGGGGACACCTCCCAGTTACACCTTCCACTGGAGTAATGCATTGCTCTTGTCAAGGGAGACCTTCACACTGCTAAAGGCAGTGAGGGATACCCCTGCTGCGACCTGCAACCAGTATGAAGTAAGCAGACCATCTAGTCACCCACCTCACGGCTCCAATCCACACTGAGCACAGCTGGTCTCAAGATCTCCAGGAAGCTGCACCCCACATCCCGAGGAGGAACGACCTATCCTTCCCTATATACCTCACAAACCTGGAGGTGATCACACTGCAGCCCAGAGAAGCAAATGGAGTCAAACCTCCCCTAACCCAGACCCCTGGCCCCACCTGGGTCTCCACTTTCTTGCCGTTTCAGAGGCCAAGAATGGGCTTGGAAGCTTCTCTGCCTTTCCCTTGAGCAGCTCTTCCGGGGTTTTTGGGCGGCAGCCAGGCGGGACCCAGCCCCTTGTGCAAACACGGGGGAGGGCCCACTGGGCACCTCACTCAAGGACTGGCCATTGTCACACAAGCTTCCAGGGAGCAGTACCTTTCCAGTTCCCACGCCTTCCCTTCCCCCTCAGTGCCAAGATCCTGGGAGAGACTAACCTAGGAGGAAGTGGTTGAACACCTGACACCTGGGCAGAGGTGGCTCTGATCCTAGAGGGCACAGGGCCTCACAGGTGTGAAGACCACACTAGAGCAGACATTAGCCAAAGGACAATCTCCCTGCTGAGCAGACAAGTGCCCCCCCCCCCCACCAGGTCCTCACTGGCCCATACCAAAGGCACTGTCAATGGTGGTGGCCCATCTCCCGTCCCAACCCCACAAACACAGAAGGCCATTAGCATCCAAATCTTTTTAATAACAGAGTAAGATCCAAGGTTAATTTTTGTAGCCTCGGCTGGCTCTTCGGCCTCTTGCACGCTCGAACTTCCGGCCCTTGGAGCGGACATAGGGTCTGTGGGCAGAGGAGGAGGGTGAGAGAAGCCCTGACCATAGTGGCCCTTACCACCCGATCCTGCAGAGCCCCCAAGCTGCAGCTGCCCCACCCCAGTGAGCCCAACACCCCAGTGGCCACTGTGACTAATTGCAGGAAGCCTGCAGCCTTATACTCACTTGGTGTGGCTGTGCGGAGTTCCTGGGGCCTTGCCAAAGTGCCGGTAAACCTCTCGGCCCTTCCGGGGACCTGGCCAGGGAGAGGTAGGTCAGGCAAGAACCAGGGATTTTGATTGCCTGGAGGAAACTGTTCCTCACAGGGCTGAGGATCACTGGGAGCGAGGTAAAAACACCCAACCTCAGGAGTTTCTGTGCAGCCCCCACTCACCTGACAGGAGCACGGTGCCTCGACCCTTGGGAGACTCCAGGGCCAGCTGGTCAAAGGTGAGGATCTTACCCCCAGCCTTGAGGATGCGGCTTCGGGCCCGGCTGGTCACACGCAGGGCACACACCTGAGGGGGCAGAAACCAGGAGCTGTGGGGACAGACCACAACCCAGCAGACAGTGGAAGCCACATTAACTACCACCAGAACCTCTTCAGGGAACATCAACTACCCTCAATGCTTAGACCTAGACTGAATCCTCCAAGCACCACCATAATTAAGGACACTGAGGAAAAGCCACCAAAGACTTTGTTCAGACCTGACAAACCTAGATCTGGGCCTAGGCTGTCCAGCTCAGGAACCAGTGCTGTGAAGAGTTCAGACCACAGCCATGACAGAAAAGAACCCACTTGACCCCGAAGTCACTGGACTGGATGCTGGCCTCACCCAGCAACAGGCCAAGGAGCCACTGCTGCAGAGCAATGCCTGAGATGTCCCTTACACCTATGCCAGTCACTCACCTTCAGTTTTGGAACATCCAGAACCCGCACATCATCTGTGATGGTCCCCACAACCACAGCTGTCTTGTTCTCTCTGCCAGGAAGCTTCATCTTTTGGATCTCAGGGGAGGGACAAACAGGCTAATCATTCTGTGTTCATACCTGCCACTCTACTCCAAGACCAGAACAGTCATGCCTTCCCCATGGCAAGGCCACCCAAGGTCTATGAGTGAGCATCCTCTTCTCACTGTACTCTTGCCTGGGAGCCCATCCTTTCCAACCCAGCAGGGTCAACCTTCTAGGTGCAAAAGCCCACCTACTATAAGGCCCAGGGCAGGTAAAGTCACACAACCAGCACAATGGGGAAGGCAAGGTGAAATGAGGCAGAGTCCTGGACCCTCCACTGGCCAAAACAGCCCGGCACAGCCACTCACCATCCGTGACAGGGACAGAGGTGGCCGGTTAGTGCGGCTCATAAACAACCTTTTCAGCACAACCTGGTTGAAGGTAGAGTTGGTTCTTCTTGCCAGAAACCTGTACAGCTAGAGAAGGGAAAAGTGTGAACACAAGGGGCCAAAAAAGGTTAGGTGGGCTCTACAGCTCTCCCAATCCCACTGAGTTTAGGGGGGCTGGTCCAGCGCCTCCTTTTGCACCTGGAAAACTGATGCAGGGGACAGAGCCGTACCCAAAGCGTAGCCCAGCCTCACCTTGACCAGCAGTCGCAGGTAGATGTCCTGGCTCTTCGGCTCCTTGCGCCGAACCTTTCGGTCCTTGTTGTGACGAATGTCAACTCCCTGTGGGAGGCAAAGGGGCAACCATGAAGCGAATTTCTAATCTGGACAATTACTTGTCTCAATACCTTGAACTGTGACTTATCCTGCAGGCTCCTAAAGCAACACCTCAAATCCCAGGCCCACCATAGAGACCTCCTCAGTGCCCCCAAACACACTCATGCAGTTGTAAAAATTTCATTTTCAAATTCTTGTCTGGATAATACTTAAGAGTGTCAGAAGACTCATGAAAAACCCTCAAAGCACCATGTGTCTCGTTCCCTAAATCTAAGAAAGAGGTGGCTTTTTCTGAGGAGGAGTTGGTTAGTTATCTTGAAGAGACAGCAGCATAAGTCTTCCTAAGGGGAAGAAATCTTCACCTCAGGGAGGAAATTTTCTTCCACTTTGGCAGTGGGCTTGAGCGGCTGCTGCAGCCAGCACTCGGGAGGAAAGGCAGAGGTAGGAGGATCTCTGTGCGTTCAAGTCCAGCCTGGTCTACATAGTGAGTTCCAGGGCAGCTGGGGCTATAGGGAGACCCTGTCTCAAAGACTAAAAAAAAAAGCAACACGCAAGCGGAGCGGGGTTTGGAGCAGAGACCCTATCTGATGCCTACCTGGGCCCCGAATCTGGGTCTGTCACCCAGGACTCAACTTTACAAAAACAAGTTACAAACTACGGAGACTGGACGCGGTGCTGCCGCCTCTCATCCCACTTGGGAGGCTGCGGCATGTCGGCCGAGAGATCGAGGCCAGCTCGACTGCATTGCAGTCAGCCTGGGCTGCACAGCGAGATACCGAATGCCTACCTAACCCAAAACCACCTAGGGCCGGACTCCGGCTCCGCCACGTCCCGGTGGCCCCAGCCTCCCCGGACATCAACTTCGGCCGCCCGCGGCGTTACCCAGCCCAGGCCCGCCAAGGATGGCAGCGGATGGCTCGGCCGCGAAGACCGCAGGCGTACTTACCATGATGGCGCCTCTTGCCCAGCCAGGTCCGGAAAGAGAGAGCGGCGCCCGAGTGGGCGGGGAAAGGCTTCAGTGCCCGGCGCACGCGTGACATCACCAGGCGAGACGCTCTACCCGACGTGGGCTTCTCTGTGGTGAACATGTGACGTCACATGGGCGCCGTGGGGCGCTCTACCCAAATCGGGGTTTCTCTGTGGTACCGCCAGACGACCGGCTACAGAAGACCCCAGAAGAGGTGGAGAGACAACCAAAGAGAAACCAGCGCGACACCAAAGGAGACAGGGCCAGCACGCAGGGAGCTTCTCTGTCTTTCTCCAGTTCCTATTCTCTATAGTCTCTCGGGATTAAGGGACCTGAAAACGAGAGAGATGTTTGGAGGCCGCTGGAGACGTCGCGCAGTGACCCTCTGGCCGGATACCAACCGCTACTCGGTGGCTCTCGGAGGACCCCGCGGGCGGCGTGCTGGAGGTGAGGGGCAGGCGGGGCTTGCCGCTCAGCTCACACTTCCGACATTCCTTTAAGTTCACGGCTGCCTTTTCCTTAGGCTTAACTTACTAGCCGCTGTTCTTTGAAGCTCAGACGTCCCACTAGATCTCTAACCTGAGATCCTGCTGCAGCTCAACCTATAGTACCCACTTTTTTCAATCTTTTGGGTTCAGCTGTTCTTCATAGATGGCTGCTTCCTTGATCCCTCCTTAGTCTCCCTCTTGGAACGACTTTTTTTTTCTCTCAACAAGACAGATTCAACTGGCCCAACAGTTCCGATGTACAAGGTAGTAACGTACAGAGAAGGAACACAGCTCCTGGCCTGGGGACTAGGGTGAAAGGGGAATAGATGACAAATTCCTGAAAGCAGAAAAACATGAAGAGAGGGAGATAGAGACTCTGGGGATGGAGGCCTGAGGATGAGAAGGAAAGATGGGGGTTAGAGGGAGATCCTGGCAGTAGAGATATAAAAAGGTCGCAGGTGGTACCTGTCTAGACTATAATAAGTTCAGGTCCTGGCTCTACTACTTCAAAGTTGTGACTTTGGGTAAGTCACTTTCTATGCTATTTTTTTTTTAATTTTTAATTTTTTATTTTTTTGGTCTTTTTGAGACAGGGTCTCCCTGTAGCCCCAGCTGGCCTGGAGCTCACTATGTAGACCAGGCTGGCCTTGGACTCACAGAGATCCGCCTGCCTCTGCCTCCCAGTGCTGGGATTAAAGGCGTGCACCACCATGCCCGGCCATCTATGCTATTTTTTTTTTTTTTGCCTTGTTTGGAAAAAGTGATAAGCCTAACAGGGTGTTTTCCCTGATTGATTAGGTTGGTAAAAGTGCTTAAATCAATACTTGGCACATAGATGCTTCATAGATGGTCCGTAAAAGCGCTTAAGTCAATACTTGGCACATAGATGCTTCATAGACTTACATTACCTACACTAGAATAACCAGACAGACCAGCTGGATGGGGTGAACTGGCTGTCGGACACTAAGCCTGTTGGGTGCTTCTCCTGTTCTCCTCCACAGAGCACAAGCTTGGGTCTGCACAGTGAGCAGGCAGGACTCCTTGCCCAGACCACCTGCATATGGCCTCCAAGGCTGGGCCCAGGCCCTGCTGTGACCCAACAGAGGGCTGGCAGCTGAACGGACATCCTGAATTGGAGGGGCAGCGGGAGCAGGTGAGGCTCCATTCGGAGGCCCAGGTTCTCATACTGTGGGCAGGGACAAGTCTGCCAAGGCTCTTCTGCCACTGACCTGAGGCCTTCCTGGGGAAGAGTGAGTAGCTACAGGCAGGTGAGGTCACACTGAGTAAGCATGCTAGCCGCAGGCTCCCTTCCTCTTTTCTTCCTCCCTGTTCCCTTTTCTCTGACAAGGTCTCAGCTGCTTGGGTTGCCATCTGTCTTGGTATTCTCAGAGGCCAGTGGCTGTGGTCTCCTGTCTCTATTTCACTCCTCTCTCATCATTCCTTGGCATGTTCTCTAGGGCTGTTGCTATTGTGGATTGGGTGCATGTTGGATTTATTTGCAGTAAACTACCTTGTCTGCTTTTCTTTCTAGGAAACTTGGTCTGCATCTGTTACTAAGTGCTTTGCTTGGCATATAGGAGGCCTTGAATTTGGTTCCCAGTCAGTACCATAAAAAAAAAAAAAAAAAAAAAAGGATGTGTCTCCCCAGTTCTGTCAGTCTCCTGCTGCCCCTTGCCTTACTATTTTTCGTTTCACAGAGTTTTTGCCTTTTGTGTGTAGCTCTGTCAACTAGTTTTTCCTGGGCTCAGTTCCTCTCCACATCTGGACTTTCAAAATGCTTCCCTCCCTGAACTCTATCTTGTCACATGTTTTCCTGGACAGATGTTAATCTATCCTGTCTCCTCAATGGCTAGATTCCAAAGTAAACAGTTTGTGAATTAATGAGCCTCCCCGCCCTGATTTTCGTTCCAGAACTGTCCCCGCCTGTGTTGGTCATTTTCTGAGGTCTGTTTGTTTGTTCTGTTTTCTGAGACAAGATGTCATGAAATTCACAGTAGCCTTGAACTGGGTATACGCAGCAGAGACTGACCTTCCACTCCTGATCCTCCTGCCTCCACCTCCTAAATGCTGGGGTTACCGGCACACACCACCACACTCACCTTAATCCCAATGTTTTCGTCTCTTTGTTTATAACTCTGCTTTTCTCTAAGTCTCAAACTGCTTTTGCCACTCTCTGAATGCCTGTTGCGGGTTCGTTAGAGGCTTGGTCTCTGCAGGTAAATCCTTCCCCTCCGCCCCCCACATCCCTTTTCTTTTTATAAATTCTTAGAATGGGACCGCCCCCTTTGCCCTCAACAAAGATGGTGAAATACGCTTTGCCTTTGGTACCGCGTCGCCACCTCTGCTGCGTGTGTGCCCTCACCTATGATGGCGGCTGTCTCGGGAAGCGCGAAGCCCAACCCAGTTCTCGCGCTCTCGGTAGATGGGCCCCAGTGAAGAACGCCGGAGGCGGTTGGTCCCGCCCCCCGCGCTCTCATTGGTGCAGCTCAGGTCAACCGTATGGCCATTGGCCAGACTGACGCACACCCTCCCCCCACCCCTAGGTCTGATGGGGGTGGTTGTGCCGACTCCGGAGGGGCAGCTCCGAGGACGCGGCGTGCGTGGCGGTTGCGGGGTTCGGGGAGACCCTGCGTCTGGGTGACTAGTGACCCCCGAAGGGTGGACGCTAAGGCCTGAGACAGGGACACTCAGTGGGACCTAGAAACAGAAAACCAGGTTCGCGTCCGCGAGGGAGACCCAGGCCTGGCACTGTCTTGCAGCCCTGGAGTAGGGGCGCAGGCCCGGGATACCGGGGACAGATCAGGGACAGACCGAGCAGAAGATAGGGAACCTGTGGATGGAGGCCCAGATCTGGAGTCCCCGGAGACCAAGACACAGCCCAGGATGGAGGACGTGTAGGGCTCTGGTCTGGAGTCTGATTTGATGGCCCCGTAGGGGCCACTGCAGGTTTGGGGGTGGGGCAGACACCTGGGCGTTACGGGAACCGCCCAGGTCAGGGAGCAGAGGTTGATCTGGAGGGACAGACTCCATGGGGGCGTGTCCAGGGCTGCTATGGGCCTTTCGAAGGTGGCAGGCCAGACAGGTGCCTGGGTGGGACAGTTAGCACAAAGGTGAGCCACAGGCGGTTAGACTCCTCAGTAGAGCAGGAATAGCCCTGGCTCCCACCCTCTTCTGGAAAAGCAGACAGCCAGACACCCAGGTTAGTGCTTCCCGACTTGGCACCCACATGTGGCTCCCCTCTGACTGCTTGGCTTCCTGTGTGTCATTCCTCTTCTCTCCTGTCTGGCTGCCTCTTCTGTCTCTTGCTTTCCTTGTTGGGGTGAGAAGCTCTGTCTCCTCCACCTGGGCTTCAGCTCCCAGAAGCTATTGCCTCCTCAGTGTTCTCTGTCTTTCAAAGCTTGTCCCTCTTTTTTTTTTTTTTGGTCTTTTTGAGACAGGGTTTCCCTGTAGCCCCAGATGGCCTGGAACTCACTATGTAGACCAGGCTGGCCTTGAACTTACAGAGATCCGCCTGCCTCTGCCTCCCTATTGCTGGGACTACAGGCGTGCACCACCATGCCTGGCTCTAGCTTGTCCCTTTGTGCCTGTGTCTCCACATTACTCCCCTCTCTACCTGGCAGTGACTCTGTGTGGGAAGGGATAGTTCCTTTCGGTCTTGGCTTGTCTATTTTTGCATATGTCTCCATCACCCAGTTCCCCTCTTGGCTTTGTTGTCCTGTCCCCATCCCATCCCCCGGCCCTTATCATTTTCCAATACACCAAGTATTTTATCTTTTAGCCTTTTTCTGTTCGTCTTCTGATTGACAGGGGTTTTATTGTTTCTTTGGTGGTGAAGTTGTTTTTGAGACAAATCTCACTGTGTAGCCCTGGTTAACTTCAAACTTGCAGTGATCCTTCTGCCTGTGCTGGGATTACAGGTATACATCATGTCTAGCTGTCAGGGAGCCCTGAATAATTATCTGAAATAAATGAATGCTTTTATGGCTGGATGCTGGCCTTTCTACCCCTGCGTGCTCAATGTCTCTCCATGTTGTCTGAGCCTGTGTTTGTTACTCCCATCCCATACCTTCACTGTCTTTTCTCCACAGGCCCCACTCACCCCTCTCTCCACCTACCATGGGGGTCCTGGACTCTGACCATTGTCTTCCTCCACAGAGGCCAGAGCAGGAGCAGGAGCTGAGGGCAAGCCACAGGTCTGGGAGTGCTTGGGATAGGGCCAGAGTCATGGCCCCTCCACCACCACTGGCTGCCAGTACCCCAATCCTACATGGAGAGTTTGGTTCCTACCCAGCCCATGGCCCACGATTAGCCCTCACTCTCACAGCACAGGCTCTGCACATACAACGGCTACGCCCAAAGCCAGAAGCCCGGCCCCGTGATGGCCTAGTCCCCCTTGCTGAGGTCTCAGGCTGTGGCACTCTGCAGAGCCGCAGCCCCTCAGACACTGCAGCCTACTTCTGCGTCTACACCTATCCTCGGGGCCGGCGAGGGGGACGACGCAGGGCCACCCGCACCTTCCGGGCAGATGGGGCAGCCACCTATGAGGAGAACCGTGCAGAGGTCCAGCGCTGGGCAACTGCTCTTATGTGTCTTCTCCGAGGAGTGCCCCTGCCAGGAGATCAGGGTAAGGTGCTGGGCCAGAGTCATCTGGGTGTTTCTGGCCTTTTTTGTTTTTGCTCTTGTTTTCTTTTCCCTGTATGGGTCTGTGCTGTGTCTTTCTGGGTCCATATTAGAAGAGTGAGATACAGGTAGGGAGAAGTGCATTATGGCCTCTGCCCCTGCCTGTATTTTCTGTCCCCCTCCCCAAGTCTGGACTACAGATGAGTAACAGGATTCCAGGCTGGTGAAAGCCACAGGCTGAGAATGATCCCTAGTGCTTAGGAGTACCCCAGAGGTGGCCTCTAGCGCCACCTCCAGCTTTCTGGTAGAACCTCCCCACCCAGGGCCCCCACTTCTATTCGAGTCTCCTAGGCCTTTGGGGCCTCTGAGGGGAGGTGACAGTGTCAGAACCTGATACTGGTTAAACAGGTGTGTAGGGATTGCAGCTCCTTTGTTCACCGGCCACAAACAGGTCCAAAGGGCACACACTTTTAAAACCAAACCTTTGTCTTGTACCTGTGAGGAGGAGGTGGGCTGCCCACACTGGCCAGGTGACAGTTGGGAAAAGAACTAAGAGCAGGCCCTGTGCCAGCCTTCCACAGATCAAGTCTCTTTAGGGTCCATTTTCAGAGACTGTTGCCAGAGGGTGGGGTCCTGGAACTCTGGCCTCTGTAAGACCCAGCCTTCTCTCTGCAGAGATCACCCCTGAACTGCTGCCTCGGAGACCTCGCCTGCTGCTATTAGTCAATCCCTTTGGAGGGCGGGGCTTGGCCTGGCAGCGATGTATGGACCATGTGGTGCCCATGATCTCTGAAGCTGGGCTGTCCTTCAACCTCATACAGACTGGTGAGGGCTGACGGGTGGGAGTGGGTTGGGATTCTCCTGGGTCTTCTGGAGAGATGTGACAGGATGAAGAGGCAGCCTGGCCAACCCTTTTATTATCCCTCCCCCCTAGAACGACAGAACCATGCCCGGGAGCTGGTGCAAGGGTTGAGCCTGAGTGAGTGGGAAGGCATTGTCACTGTCTCTGGAGATGGACTGCTCTATGAGGTAGCATCATGGACACCTAGCCCTGCCCTTGGGGGAACTGAAGGGGCCTGGGACCTAGGAAGTCTTCTCCCAACTGCAGGTGCTGAATGGGCTTCTTGATCGCCCTGACTGGGAGGAGGCTGTGCGGATGCCCATGGGGGTCCTCCCCTGTGGATCTGGCAATGCACTAGCAGGAGCAGTGAACCACCATGGCGGGTAGGTTGGCTACTCCTGTTGGGGGTTGCCAGGAGTACCTGATGAAGAGGGGGGATGAACTTCTGGGACTTCCCATCAGCCTATACCCCCTCTGGTAGCTAGATTTATACCTGGCCCACAGAAGGCATTCAGGGATACTTATCAAAGGTATTGGTGGACCCAAACTACCAAGGGTTTGGGGATGCCCTCCCTGGGGCCAGTGTAACCCACATCCTTTTTTTCTTGTGCTGTGTCTCTCACCCCGCCACCTACTCTTTACTAACTGTGGCACTGTCTCTGGCTGTGAAGGTTTGAGCCAGCTGTGGGTCTCGACCTCCTGCTTAACTGCTCACTGCTGCTCTGCCGGGGTGGCAGCCAGCCTCTGGACCTACTTTCCGTGACACTAGCCTCAGGAACCCGCTGTTTCTCCTTCTTGTCCGTGGCCTGGGGTTTCCTGTCTGATGTGGACATCCACAGTGAGCGCTTCAGGGCCCTGGGCAGTGCTCGATTCACACTGGGTGCAGCCCTAGGCCTGGCCACATTGCACACCTACCGAGGACGCCTCTCCTACCTCCCTGCCACCACAGAGCCTGCCCTGCCTACCCCAGGCCATGGCCTGCCCCGGGCCAAGTCAGAACTGGCCTTGGCTCCAGCCCCGGCCCCAGCTGTTGCCCACTCGCCGTTACATCGCTCTGTGTCTGACCTGCCTCTGCCCCTGCCCCAGCCTGCCCTGGCCTCCCCTGGCTCCCCTGAGCCCCTGCCTGGCCTGTCTATCAATGGTGGGGGCCCAGAGCTGACAGGGGACTGGGGTGGAGCTGGAGATGCTCCACTGTCCCCAGACCCACTGTTGCCTTCACCTCCCAACTCTCCCAAAGCACCTAAGCTCTCACCCATTACTGAAGGGCCTCCAGAAATGCAGGCATCGTTGGGTCCTCTGCCTCCCACCCCTGGTGCTCCAGGAGCCTCTACCTGGGGTCCAACTGACCACCTGCTGCCTCCGCTGGGCTCACCACTTCCCCCAGATTGGGTGACGATGGAGGAGGACTTTGTGCTCATGTTAGCCATCTTGCCCAGCCACCTCTGCGCAGACCTGGTGGCAGCCCCACATGCCCGTTTTGATGATGGTGTGGTACACCTGTGCTGGGTACGAAGCGGCATCTCTCGGACTGCCCTGCTGCGCATTTTGCTGGCCATGGAGCATGGCAACCACCTCAGCCTGGGCTGTCCACACCTAGGCTACGCTGCCGCTCGTGCCTTCCGCCTCGAGCCGCTCACACCCCGTGGCGTGCTCACAGTGGATGGGGAGCTAGTGGAATATGGGCCAGTGCAGGCCCAGGTGCATCCCAGCCTTGGCACGCTACTCACTGGGCCTGCAGGCCGCATGGGTCACAATCCCTGAACCTAATCTCAAATGGAACATGCTGGGGCAGGGCCAGAATGAGTGTGTGGCCTACATTCTATAAGTGGAAGCAGGGCCAAGTCAACTAGAACAGATGTTCAAGCCTAAACCCCAGCGTCCTGGGAGCAGTGCCTGAAGGGCAAAGGTGATCAATCCCTACCTACTCAAGCTTTTTTTTTTTCTGGTCTTTTTTGAGACAGGGTCTCCCTGTAGCCCCAGCTGGCCTGGAACTCACTGTGTAGACCAGGCTGGCCTCAAACTCACTGACATCCACCTGCCTCTGCCTCCCTAGTGCTGGGATTAAAGGCCTGACTCTAGTCTTGACTACCTGGCAGCCAAGGGCTGGACCTGCCTTCCAGTTCCCCTAAAGACAGGGCCTGGAATGCATGAACTTGGTGAGGTCTCAGCTCATTGGCCAGCCAGGGCTGAGTTTTGCCCTACTCTGGCCAATCAGCCCTGGAGGGGCAGGTTCCCCGGGGCAGTCCCTAGGATTTGCACTAATGTTCCTCCCCAGTGGGGGGGCAGGGAAAACCATTTCTCATGTTCAGTGTCATGTGTGTCCCTGTCGCTAGTCTAAAAAGCAATTGAAAAGTTCTATGCAATAAAGGCAGTCAGCTTCTTTCCTCTAGACCTTGGCCCCCTTCCATCTGACAGCCCCTTCTGCCAATCCTGCCTTTGGACCACAGCCCAGAGATGCTCACTGGCCCCAGCCAGCATGACTTCCTGCTGACCTGGAACCTGGGCCAGGTAGTTGCTTTGTTCCCCACAACGGCTGGCTCTGGGGTTCTCAAGATTTATTCAGGTTGGTGTTGACGGAGGCGGTTTGGGAGGCTCGTGCAGGGAGTACACACACAGGACCCTCCCCACCCCCTCTAGGGAGGGGGGAGGCTCACTTTTTCTTAAAAATATAAATGTATTTGTCTGCATCATCACGTCCCTGGGGCTCCCTGCTGGCCAGATGTTAGCTGGGGCAGGGAGGGAGGAGGGTGTCCGGGCATAAGTCTGAGTAAGGAATAGGGCTCGGCCCTGGGCAGGTGAAGGGCAACCTCACAGCGCCCCATGCTGGGCCTGATAGCGCGACAGCACAGCGCGATAGTGAGACAGCTCCTGCCGCACAGCCACCACCTCCTGCCGCAACAGGGCATTCTCCTTCTCCAGGAAGGCGGCCCGCACCGAGATCTGGTTCTCCTTGAGTCTCCTGGCATCCCGGGACCTCTTGGCTGCCTCATTGTTCTTATACCGCCGGCTCCAATACTTTTCATCCTGGGAGTTGAGGTGGGGGCCACTTAGATCCAGCAAGAAGAGGGGAGGGGCTGCTCTGAGACACTCCTCTAAGAACACCTCCTTCTCTGGCATCTGTTTCTGCCCAGCATTGGGGTCTAAGGGCTACTGGTCTTTGCTAGGATGGGTAACCAAACCTGTGCTGTCTAGGGCCCTGGTTGCTACAGGCAGGTGCCTCACAGACCCCTCACAGAAAGCTAAATCATGAGACAGAGGACCCCAAATATACCATATGCAAACAATTGGGCTTCAGTTCTCGATGTGCAGAGCAGGCTTCCTCACTTGGTTACTAAGGATGTTTGTTCCCTAGCAACAGGGCCTTCAGGGTCTGAAGGCTTACCCCAGTAAAGAGCATACTGCTCTAGATACCACCTTTACAGATCCTGGTTGCTAAGGAAAGCTTGGGTAGCCCCCTTAGCAATAGGGTTTGGTGTCCTGGTTGCCAAGGCAACCTCATTTCCTCCTTAGGAGACAAACACAAGCTGTAAGGAGACCCAATGATGCTGGCCAGTCTGTCCTTCTGCCCTTTGGAGCTATCAGAATTCCCCTCCAGAACCTAATTAAAGGAAGAGCTGCTGGTCCTTAGCCTCCTGCCCTCAGGCCTACCCAGAGGACGTTACTATGGGTCTTCCACCCAGCTAGGCAAGGTGCTCACCCCTTCAGCTGCCACCTAAAGGTTGTTCCAGCTTGCCAGGACACATCCAACACCACCCCTAGCAAAAGTGGGGCTATAGCAGGAGAAATCACTGGTCTAGGCTCTGGGGCAGAACTAGATATTGGAGTGGCTGTGTCCCACACAAGACAGTGACAGAGACATGAGAGAAGCCCAAAGGCCCCCTTTCTAGCAGAGTCTCTTGTAACAGCAAAACCAGGAGGCTAGAATGATGCACCTTTCACATTTCTGCAAATCAGAACATGGCTCCTAAAGGGAGACTTCCAGGTTCCAGGACGACAAAGCCTGCATCCTAGGCAAAGATGGTCTTTCTAGGGATGCTCCAGGTCAGAGGTCAAAGATCAGCTCCAGCCTGGCCAGATGCTAAGGACAAACATGCTGATTGGAAGCTAAAGAAACCTGGCCTTGGCAATGGAGCCTCTTGAAACTTGAGGGGACCTCACAGAGAGTTCTGGGTCCAAGTGACTGAACAGTAATACCATCCTGAATCTGAGGCCAAAGCCCCTGAGGCCAAAGGTGCCTGGTGGGTTAGGACACACCTGCAGACTAGGAAACTCTTGAGACCTCATCCCAAAAAGATCAAGTCAGCTTTGAGTAAAGGAGGTCTCTGACCAAGCTCAGGCCCCACACCATGCTCACCTTCTGCTCCTCGGGAACCTGGACTTTCCTTGCCTTCTTCATGATTGGCTGAGGCTTCAGTTCCTCCTCTGAGAAGCGGTGTCTCCGAGGGTCAAAAGTCTCATGGCCTGGAATGCTTGAAAGGGCGAGATCAGCTGGGTCCGGTTCAAACGTCATCAACACCTCCACTGTGTCTGGGTCCACAGGACTGGGTGTGTCCCTAGAGGTCAAGCCTGGGAAAATACAGTGTCAGTTAAATGCATGAATATTTCTTTTGGCGAGTGGGTTCTCCGAGTCCCCCGTCTTATGGACCTGCAAAGCCTGCCTGCAAGGCATCAACTCTGTGATACAAAGGTTACTTAACCAGCAAAGGCGCTTAATTCTACTTTTAAGACTAGGGAAACTGAGGCCAAACACAAATGCCCGTCCTTAAATATCTGCCGAAGGCTTCAGACTCTTAAGTCCTACTTACTAAATCCTCACCTTTGAACTTAAACTAATTGTTCAGAGCAAAGGACCTCAACTTAAGACTCTGAAGAACGACTCACTCCTAGGAGCGATAGAGACGCAGAAGCCGGATCTGAGGTTCCAGGAGCTTGGTTTTAAAAAGGAGCTTGTGTCTTTAAGCACAGGCAAGCTGGGGCCAGCTAAGGACACAGGTTCGGGGCCGCGTCACGTGCCCCCGCCAGCTTCCTTTCTCCCCTCCCCCCTACCGCGCGCCCTCACGTTCCCGGGACACGCCTCCTCGCCCGTGAGAGCGCGTGCGCGGAAGGGAGGGAGGACTCACGTGGCGCGAGAATGTGTGGTTCTGGTTTTGCCTGGAGGTCGGATCAGGGGCAGGTGTACTCAGGAGTCCCACATGGGGGTCGCCTCCCCTCTTGTGCCTTCTTGTCTCCTCTCCAACATCTCCAAGGACACCCCCCCACTCCATACGGGGGAACGTGAGAGAACCGGCTTATCCCCAGGCTGATGATCTCCCGATCTAAGATCCCAGGTACCCCCTAGCAGGAATATGGGGAGCACCTCTGGAGGATCCAAAATTGAGATCCCCGGTCACGATCCGGGGAGCCAGGGTGCAGCACCCCCCACTGGGGGACCCTGGAACCTAGTGCCCAGCTCTCGCCTTTTACTTTAGAAGTCCTAGAATCCAGTTCTATCTCATTTCCCCCAAATCTACACCCAGATCCTGAGGTCAGTTTACTCCCCAGTAAGTTACTAAGGTGTTCTGAGTTTCCAGTCCTGGCTGAAACATGCGGAAACTTTGTCCCACAGAAAAACACTACCTCTCACTAGACAAACATCTCGCTTTTGGGGTTTCAGGTCCTCTGACAGATCGCACATGTCTCTTGGGGAGGCCTCCCTCTCCTTAAGGATCACAGCAGACTTCCAAAAGCTTCGCGAAGCCCCGCCCCACGACACAAGCCCCGCCCCTGGAAGCCAGCCCCACCCCTTCGCCGCACCTGCGCGCTGGCCGCCGGCGGCTCCCAGGGTGGCCCGGGCGGGGGCGTGCCCCGGCGAGGAGCGGGGAGAAGAGGAGCCGCAGGAGCCGTGCCCCGGGGAGGGCGCAGGCGTGCGCGCAGGAGAGGGCACCGGTGACAGGCCCCCGGGGGGCGGCGGGCTCGGCGGGAGCCCGTGCTCCAGCAGGAAGGCGTCCAGGTCCACGTACTCCACGTCGCCGAAAGGCAACGTGCGTTCCCACAGCAGCGGCGCCAACAGACTCGGGCCAGGCACCGGTCCCGGGCGCCCCCGCGGGGACCCGCCGCCACCCACCGCCCCGGTTGGGGCGTCGGCTGGACCCGCCGTTTCCAGGCCGGGCCCCGGAACAGGAGCTGAGGGCAGGACCGCCTTGCGCTCCTTTTCCTTCAGGATACCTGCGGGCCAGGGAAAGACGGGATAGGGAGGGGACACAGAGAAGGGACACCCCCCCCCAAGTCAGAGAAGAGGTATAGAGACCATACAGAGAGGTGGGGAGACCGGAGCCGAACAGAGAACCCGAAGGAGGTAAGGGACAGGGAGACAGATACTCAGGGAGAGACAGGAATCCAAAAGGAGACAAGACGGGAGGAAGGGTGAGAGAGACCCAGTGGGAGGCAGGGAACCAGCGAGGGATGGGAGGGTGGGGGACAGAGAGACAGAGGCCCAGCGAGACAAGAGACAGACAGGCCCAGAAAGAGAAGGGGACCGAGAAAGGGACAGAGACCCAGCAGGAGGCAGGGAATCAGTAAGGGTGGGGGGACAGAAGGAGGGTGGACAGAGACCAGAAAGGAGAGGTACCCAGAGAAGAACAAATACACAGATAAGGACAGAAACCCGGTAAGAGATAAAGACCCAGAAAGCGACCCAGAGAAAGAGGGCCAGAAGTTGGGAAAGAGGGGTTTAGAGACAGGGTGGGTAGAGGGGTGGACAGGTAAGAGAAAAAAATGACAGTGCTGTAATTCCTCTAATCCCCCACCCCCCCAGCGCACGGTACCCTCGGCCCTTCCCCCACAGTCTGTAAGGGGCAGGAAGGGGTTTCATCGCTCGGGCACATTCCTCGTCCCCAGTTTCCATGTGACCCTATGAGGCCCCGCCCAAGCCCGTGTCTGCACCGTGTGAGCATCCGACACACCCCCTCCCCCCCATCGGACTCCAGGGGTCCAGACTCCTAGGCCAAAGGGAAGAAAAAGGGGGCTGGGTCCTAGACTTCTGTGTCCTTGATGGAAGATTTTTGGGACCCCTGAGTCCGGTTGTCAGGTTTGGTCGTGGACGTTGAGAGACATAGGCGCCTAAACACCTGAGTGACCGATGAAGACTGGGAAAGATGGGGCACCCACCACATAGGTGTCGCGGACCACCCCCCAAGACTTAAGTCCCTAAAGAGCGGGATTAGAACTCACAGCTGGCTGGTTCTTTGGGCTTGCTTGTCCCCTGCAGAAGGCTCCGCAACCCAAGCAACGTTCCCCCGCCAGGGGGGGCCCCAGCCGGGCCGCCCAACAGCAGGGGGGCCGGGGTCCTGTCGCTCAGAGGCCGCGCCATCGCTGGGCACCTGCCCCCAGGTTCATGAGCTCATGGAGAAACGAAGAGATGATATGCTGGTCACTGGCACACTCCTTTGGTTCAGACGGATGTGTGCCCAGGGCCGGGCGAGCGCAGCGTACAAGCCTTCCAGGATCAGAACGTCGCGAATTCTAGGAGCGCTCGGAGGTCTGCTGTCCGCGTTTTAGAAACGTGCAACTCCAAGAGTGTCCCGGGATGATCCTATAGTCTGGGCGAGTGGGTCACCAAATCAAGCAGCTGGCTCTTTGCTACTGAGGATGCCCAAGGGACACAGGCTCGCGTTCCTTCTGTATCAGGTGGGCGAGCCTGGCTCTTGCAAATTTTGCAGTTCTCGCAAGGGAAGGAGCTTTGCAATATGCACCCAGAGGTGTGCGTCCAGGGGCGGAGGAGGCGGCAGCCTTGAGGCGTGGCCAAAGCAAACTTCTTTCGCGGAAAAAAAAAAAAAAATCCAAACCAAAAATGACAATAATAAAACAAAGTTTAACAAGGGGCGGGCGTGCTCTGGGGGGTGGCAAAAACAAACTTTTTTCGCGGAAAAAAAAAAAAAAATCAAAACCAAAACCCCCGACGCGACAGCGCGCACCCCTCCTCCGGGCCCCCTCCTGCCTCTCTGGCCTTGCACCCCAGCCGCGTGCCTCCCCCCCCCCCGATGGCTGCAAGCAGGGACCAATCATATCTCCAGCACTTGAGACGCTCAGCCAATAGGGCCCCTGGATCTGCCAAGGCCCGGGAGGGCGCGTGAGGGGCTGAGGGCGTGAAGTTGCCTTGCCTTTTGGAAGGAGGCGGGACACTGACCTAGATTTGACCAATGGGAGGAGGTGCCGGGGGCGGGACCGTGATCCAGTTCGGGCCAATAAGGCAGACGGAAGGGGGAAGCACATGGCTCTGCGCGTGCTACCGGGAGAGGGTGTGGGGCAGGCAAGGTGCCTCTTAAAGGAGCTGCGGGTCCACAGTAACAGTTTCAGGGAAGCAGGAAAGCAAAACACCGATTAGCGCAGTTTTAGGAAAAAAGAGATGGGCTTCCAGAAGGATTGTTCTGTGCTACCCAAATATTTGCCAGTCGCAACTGAGAATCAAATCACCAAGAAACAAGGAAATATTGCTCCTTTAATAGGTTTGCTTTTGAGGGTGACCTCCCCTCCCCATCTAGGGGAGGTTAGGGACAGGCAGGCAAAGTCTTCGTTTGGAAGTCTCACCGACCGTGAGGAGCACCATCCACTGCAAATGAAAGTACCGACTGGGAGAACCAAGCCTGCGAGGGGTGGGGCCTGAACGTAACGAGCTCTACCACTGGGAGGCTTCTGGGGGGAGGTGTCGGGATATACCAAGTTGAGAAACTGAGGGTTAATGGTCAGCTTCCGGACTAGACCAGATAGGGGGAAGAGGGTGGGATGGGACATGCAGAAGAGCATTAGGCTGATCTACATAAAAGTATACATGGAGGGGAACTAGGACTCTGAATTGTACCATGTTGCGAGAAACCAGAGGAGAGGTCGCTAGATTGGGACTGAACCACAGGGCAAGGAGGGAGAGGAATTGTACCATGTTGATTCTCACAAGGGGGGACTGGTAAAGACTCGCCAATGTAGGGTCGTACCATTTGGAAACAGGTGTCGGACCGTACCATCTTGGAAAGTGACAGTAGGTAGGGGCACAGACCAGTGTGTAATTGTACCACGAGGAAAACAGAGGGGAATCAGTCTTATACTAAGGTGCAAAGCAGTGAAAATCAAAGACACATGGGCCAGCAACTCTGTGGAAGAAGGGTGGGTTGCACCTTGTTGTCTCAAGGGGGGAGGGAAAAAGAGGACTGGGAGCTCAAACTAGACCACAAGTCCAAAGTGGGGAAAGACATATCACATTGAGACACCCCTGGAAACACAGATGTAGGCTGGACCAAGACAGAAAAGGGGATGGGGCGGGGGAGATACACAAGAAGCGTACCATGCAGGCGGTAATTGGGGCCTCGGCAGCGCCTCTCAGGGTGCCTGGGGTCCCTGTTGCCCCTCAAGGCCCTGTAGGCCAAGGGCTGCAGGGGCCTGCCATTACCGCTGAGGCTCTGGAAGATCTGGGAGGGAGGATTCTGGCTCAGGAGTCTCAAGGAGTGCATCTGCCTCAAGAGAAATTGAGAAATTGGGGGTGAGTGGAAAGGTTGGCTCACCCCCTTTTTGGTGCCCAAGGAGACCAGTACTGATGATCAGGGCAGGATGCACACATGTGGGTCACCTGAAGAGAGGTGATATTGAGAGCCCTGTCGATGAGAATCCAGGTGACAGTCTCCGAGCAGGGTGGGGTGCTGAGAGAGCCCTGATAGGTGATGAAGCCGAAGGATTCTGGGAACAGGAGCTCCAGGCTCAGGTCTTGGAGAAAGTAGGCATCATCTGTGGGGATATCAGGCAGTGTGAAACTGTGTCCCTTGGGCACCCCCACACGTGTGCACCCAATAAATATATGGGAACTGGGGCTCAGCGGTTAAGAGCACTGGATGTTCTTGCAGAGGACCTGGGTTCAATTCCCAGCACCCACATGGCAGCTAACAACCATAGGTATGGGTAACTCCCGTTCAGGGGAATCCGACGCTCTCTTTGGACCTCCATAGGCAATGCACGACACAGGTGCACTGATGTACATGCAGGCAGCACACACATACGCATAAAATATAAATAATAAAATACTTTTTTTTTTTTTTGGTCTTTTTGAGACAGGGTCTCCCTGTAGCCCCAGCTGTCCTGGAACTCACTATGTAGACCAGGCTGGCCTTGAACTCACAGAGATCCACCTGCCTCTGCCTCCTGAATGCTAGGATTAAAGGCCTGTGCCACCATGCCCGGCTTATAAAATACTTTTTTAAAAATATGGGGACTGAGCTGGGCATGGTGGTGCACTTCCAACACTCGGGAGGCAGAGGCAGGGGGATCTCTGTGAATTCAAGGCCAGCCTGGTCTACACAGTGAGTTCCAGGACAGCGGGAGCTACAGGGAGACCCTATCTCAAAAAGACCAAAAATAAATAAATAAATAAAATAAAAATAAAAAAATAAATTAAAAACATGGGGTCTTAGTTCTTTTTTCTGGCAGGATGGAGATTGAGTCTAGGGCTTCCTGCATGCTGGACAAGTACTGTACTGCTGAGCCACGCCCTCAGCCCTCATTGGTGGACTCTAGCTAGTGCTCTATGAGCAACTTCTATCTCCTTCCCTCTTTTTACTTTTTTTGTTTTAAGATTGGGACTTGTTAAGTAGCCCAGTTTGGCCTTAAACTCACTCAGTAGCCCAGGCTGGCATTGTCATCCTCCTGCCTCACCTCCCCAGTAGGGATTTCACCCCTGACTTGGGGACTTACTCTTGTAGGAGATGCGGGTGATGGTATCCCGGTTCAGGAGGCGACTGAGAAATGGGTTGGAACTGCCAGCCACCTATATAAAGGGCAAAAGGCAAGAAGGCAGCTGCCCCAAGCCCTTCCGCCCCCAGAAGAAGCAGCCTAGCCTCCCACCCTCCTCCCTGACCCCTGGATGCCAGGCACCCATCTTGCCTCCCTCACATTGACAAAGAGGCTGAGAATGGCCAAGCCATTGGGGCCCCTTGAGGCAGCACTGAGATTCCCGTAGAGTTCTTGGTTGAAGTGAATTAGCTGCACCTGAAGGGGGAGCAGAGAGGAGTGTCCTCAGTAGAAGGGGAAGAGAGAATGGTTCCAGCTCTCAGGCCTTTGGGATGTGGGGTTAAGGCAGCCCTGGGAAGAAGGATGGGGTGAGACATTAAGCTGGGAAACTGGGGTGGTCCAATGTGCAGGGTCATGTTAGAGATCACCACCTCAGCAGAGAAGCCCCGATGGTTGATCTGGTGTTCAGAGCCTGCTCCATCTCGAGCTCCAAATAGCAGCCGCAGTTCACTGAGTCGGTGGCTATAAAGAAGGGGACCCCCAGACACGTTGACCACTGGCCGGGGTGCAGGTAGGAAGGAGACATGGCGGCCAGTGTTGTACAAAGTTCCCTGGAGCTGCAGGAGAGGTGTAAACTATTAGGGGGACACAGAAAGATTGCTCCCTTCCAATCTCCCACTCCTCCATTCTCTGAGTTCAAGGCTTTATTATTTAATATAGTTTAGGCACCAGCCACTCCCCAGCCTCAGACCTTGTCTCTGCAATTGCTCAATATTGGTGAATTCATTCAGTTAAGAAATATTGAGCCTGTAATCCCAGCACTGAGGAAGCTGAGGCAAGAAGACTGTCATGAGTTTCAAAGCCAGCCTGAGCTACAGAGTGAATCTCCTAAAAGAAACAGACAAACCACCACTGCAGGACCAGTGAGATAGCTCAGCAGGTAAAGGGCTTGCTAAGCAAGTGTAAAGACCTGCGTTTGATCCCTGGAACCCATGTAAAGGTGGAAGGGGAGAACAGACTCCACAAAGTTGTCCTCTAACCTCCACACACACCCTACTATCTGCAATGAATAATAAAAAGGGAAGAACTGAACAAGCAGGCAGGAGAGATGGAAAATAGTGAACCACAAAACTGATAGACATCTTGAGCTTATGCTGGGGGTAAATGCTAGTTGAGTGGCGAGTGTGTGTAATAGGAGAACCAGCTTAGACTGGAAGAGGAGTCAGAGAAGGCACCCCTGAAGATAGAACATTTGAATGGAGACCTGAGGGATAAGCAGTGGATAAAAGTTTTCTGGGATGAGGAAAGGCCAAGTACAAAGGCTCTGTGGTGCCTGTGTTAGTGACAGCAAAGAAGCATGGATTGGATGGAGTCTAGTGACCAAAGAGTAAGTGTTCCTGGGAGCCAAATGTAGGGCCTCCTGGCAATGATGGAGAGTTTGGTATTGCTGTTTATTATTGGCTTTTTGAGACAGGCTTGCCTTGAATTGTGCCTTCCCCTGCCTCAGTCTCCTTCGTAGCTGGGATGATGCCTGGGCTCCACCACACCCAGCTTTGGTGTGGATAATGGGTTGTTAAGAAGCAGAGCTGTAGGCCAGCAAGGAGGCTGAGGCCCCAGTCCAGACAGGAGGCAGGTGGGAGGAGGGTGAGGCTAGAAAAGGGGCAGAAAGTGAAAAGGATGGGGATGGTTGTCCAAGAAATGGGAATGAGGGAAAGGATGGTCTAGAAAACTACTCTGGGGCTTTTGGTCACCACAGCTAAATGGAACATGGTTCCAGCTCTTTTAAAGAAATGGTACTCAGAGAGGGTCCCCAGAGTGCACACTGAGACCAAACCACCTGGTTTGAATCCCAGCAGATTTTGCTGTGTGACCCCCACCTCTCTATTCCTCAGTTTCTACCCATAAAATAAGGACAATAAGATAGCACCTATTCCGTGGGTTATTGTGAAGATTAATGACTTTGTTAAACCTTTTCAGATGCCTGCCATGGGATGCATTCTGTTTCACCGTTTCTATAGACACTGGAAGATGAACAAACTATGTTTGGGACGGGAAGAACTGGTGATCCTCTTCAGAGAGTAACTAGTGTACTCTCCAACTCTCCAACCAGCGTACCCCTGGTTCCCACAGCTCAGTACCCACTTCAGCAGGTGTCCTTGACCTCTGCTCATACCCCTCCCACTGGATCCTCCCTTTAGGCCCCTTACCTTCTCTCCCCCAGTGCTGAGCCTGAGCGGGGGCAAAAAGGGGTCATAAAGGACCCGCTTCAGCTCCACATCCACGGGGCTCTGCCGCTTCCCCACAGCACACAGACTCCAGGCAGCGTTCACCAGACCCCAGAAGGGAGGCCCTGGGGGAGGGGTGCATAGAAACAGGCTAGCTCCCAGGCAGAATCTGCTGTGTGGACTGATGATGCCAGGACTACCAGCTCTGAGGGAGGAGGCCTGAAGTCTGGAGCTCTGGGTCTGAGGAAGAAGGAGCATGGGAGCCAGAATTCCTGCTTCCTATAAGAAATTTGAAATCGTTTCCTAAGACCCTCTAACACCTCCAAGCCTCCCTTGTGTTGGACCTATCTTTAAATTGATGTGAAAAGAACTACAACTCCCAGTAGGCCTCAGCACTGCAAACCACTCATCCATCTACCGTCTTACCTCATAGCCCCATGGGAGTTGTAGTTCTTTTAGTCTCCCGTATCCCACAGCTGGATAAGAATATTAGGGAAGAGTTTCGAGAGAGGGTTGCTGAAGGGGGGGGGGGGCGGCCACCTACCGTGTAGTTATCAGCAGGAACAAGGACCTGCCGGTGACGGCAAACACACCATCTCTCCACCCCCACACTTTTTTTTCCTTGCACTCACTCCCACTCACTACTTGAAATGCGCATGCATAATGTCCCATGGTGAGCCACTGGGGTTCAGAGGCTGAGCCCCACTCCTGAGGGAGGGAGGCGGGGGCTGGGAGCCCTGGTCTTGCTGAGGATGAGGGGGGTCGGGGACCCAGACTCTCCACACAGGGGTTACCCGCGCCTGAGCCTAGGGGTTGGGCTCTGGGTCTCCACCCTGCTGACACCTGGCACGAAGTTTCCCTGGAGATTCTCCTTATAGCTCCACCAGTCCTCGGGGTCAGGCGCGGGTCCGATGTGAGCTGGGAAGAGAGCAGCCTGTATCCCTCTCCAAGGCGCCCCAGCCCACTCCTCCCTCAGGGGCTGCTGCCCGGATCCCCCAGGTCTTACCTGCCGCTCCCAGTGCGGCCCAGAGTACCAGCGCTCGAGGGGCGCTCAGGCGAGCAGCACCCCCCATCCGAGAGGCCTCGGAGCGACCCCTTCCCAACGCTGGGCCCCCTAGCTCCTCCCTCCCCTCCTCCTGGGACTTCCAGCCTTGCAGTCCCCCCGCACCGGAGCCACAGCTCCTCAGATGCAGGGGCTGGGACTGCACACCCCGGTGCCGGCTGGGAGCGCGCACCCCCGCCCGCCGCGGCCCCCGCCCTGCGCTCGCTTTACCTCCCCCAGCTGCCCTCGGCCTCGCCGGCCCCGGGTCCCTCTTGGTACTAACGCACAACCCCTCTCAGCTTTCATCCAGCCGAACCCGACCGCGCACTCGCTGCGTGCGCTCCGCTTCCCTCCGCCTCCTCTCTAGCTCTGCTCGGTTCTGCCTTCCCTTCTTCCCTTCGTCCTCCTCCTCCCTGCTCGGCTCTGCCTTCCCTTATTCTTTCTGTCCCTCCTCTTCCTCCCCCCCTCCTCTTCCTCCTCCTCCCCCTCTTCCTCCTTCTTCCCTCCTCTCCTCTTTCCCCTCCTCTCTGCCCTCCTCTCCTTTCCCTTCTTGGTCCTCCTCCCTAGCCCTGTGCTGCCGCTCTCATTCCAACTCCTCCTCCTCCTCCTCCTCCTCCTCTTCCTCCTCCCCCTCCGCAACCTTCTCCACTCTCTCTCTCTCTCTCTCTCTCTCTCTCTCTCTCTTTCTCTCTCTCTCTCCTCCTCCTCCTCCTCCTCTGGTCCTGCCTCCCTTCTTCCATCTCCTTCTCTCTGACTGGTTTGATGTTTGGTTGGGGGCCTCTGTGGCTGTAGGGCCACACCCCTGGGCCCAGGCCTGGGAAGGGAGGCACAGGTGCAGACGGAGGCCTCCAGCCCCAGGTGCTGAGACCAAAAAGGACTGGGCTTTGGGGATCTGAGTGAGGAAAGGCAGCTGACTGGCTGGGAGGGGGAGGCAGAGGCTTGGGAGACTGCAGGTGAGAGCTGTAGGTAAGCAGAGGCTGGGAAGGAAGGTCATGGTGTTCAAAAATGGAAAGATGTCAGGCAGGAGGAAGAGGCAGAGAGACACAAAGAAAGAGAGAGAGATAAAAAGAAATAGAAATAGAGACCCAAAGAGAGAAGAGACAGAGACACGAAGAGACCTAATGGTTAGAGACACGAAGAGACCTAATGGTTAGAGCCAGGCAGGAGGAAGAGAATGATATAGAGACACAGACTCATACAGAGTCCCAGAGATAGGGAGAGAGACCTTGTACTTAGAGACAAGATGCCAGGCATGAAGGGGACGAGAGAGAAAGAGAGAGAGAGAGAGAGAGAGAGAGAGAGAGAGAGAGAGAGAGAGAGAGCCTCGGACACTGGAAAGCTAGATGCCAGGCCAGAGGGAAGGAGACAGAGACACCAACACATAGAGACCAAGCATGATGGGGCATGCTTGTGTTCCCAGCAGCACTCAGGAAGCTGAGCCAGGAGGGTGGGAATTTGAGATCAGCATAGGTTATAGAGTAAGACCTTGCTAAAACTAAAAATAAAATTGGAGCTGGAGAGCTGGTTCAGTGGTTAAGAGCATTGGTTGCTCTTGCAGAGCACCTGGGTTCAGTTCCCAGCACCCGGGTTCAGTTCCTAGCACCCACATGGCAGCTAACAACTGTCAGTAACTCCAGTTCCAGGGGATCTGATGCCCTCTTTTGACCTCCATGGTCACTGTATGACATGGTGCACTTACATACATGTAGGCAATACACTCATACACATAAAATAATAAAATAAACAATTTTTATAAACGATGAGAGAGACATGGGACAGAAAGAGGTAGAAAGAGGCAGGCACCAAGAAACACATTAAAAAGAGAAGCAAGGAGACCCACCTATGGGGTTAGAGGAGCCAGGAGGGTGGGCAGGAAGGACAACAACAAATGGAGGCAGAGAAAGAGATAGAGATCCAGAGGCACACAGACACCAGGTCCAAAAGAAGGGCAGAGCAGTGGACGCAGACCCAGGGTCACACACCAGGGAATGTATGCACAGAGCTGTTCATGCACAGAGCAAGACCAAAGGACAAAGACTCCAGCAGAGGAGAGGGGTGCAGTCGCAAACCAAATGCCTTGAAGAGAGGGCTGGAGAGACAGTTCAGTGGTTAAGAGCATGCACTGCTCTCCCAGATGACCCATGTTCAATTTCCAGCACCCATGTCAGGTGGTTCATAACCACCTATAACTCCAGCTCTGGGGGATCCAATGCCTGTGGCCTCTGAGGGTACCTGTGCTCACATGCACATACACATGATTAAATTTTTAAAAATTTTATCTAAGGGCCGGGCGTGGTGGCACACACCTTTAACCCCAGCACTTGGGAGGCAGAGGCAGGTGGATCTCTGTGAGTTCGAGACTGGCCTGGTCTACATAGTGAGTTCCAGGTGAGCTGGGGCTTCAGGGAGACCCTGTCTCAAAAAGACCCAAAAATTTTTTTTAATCTATTTATTTATTTTTATTTTATGTGTATGCCTGCATGTGTGTAAGTGCACCTATGTCGTGCAGTGCCTGCAGAGGACAGAAGAGAGCATTGGATCCCCTGGAGTCAGAGTCATAGTTGGTTGTTAGCCACCATGTGGGTGCTGGGATTCGAACCTGGGTCTTCTGCAAGAACAGCCAGTGCTCTTAACCAGTGAGCCATCTCTCCAGTGTCATGATTAAAACTTTTTTTTTTTTGTCTTTTTGAGACAGGGTCTCCTTGTAGTCCCAGCTGGCTTGGAACTCACTATGTAGGCCAGGATGGCCTCAAACTCACAGAGATCTGCCTGCCTCTGCCTCCCAAGTGCTGGAACTAAAGGTGTGTGCCACCATGCCCGGCGATTAAAACTTCTTAAAAACAATTTTATAAGCTGAGTGTGGTGGCGCATGCCTTTAGTCCCAGCACTTAGGAAGCATAGGCAGGCAGATCTCTGTGAGTTCAAGGCCAGCCTGGTCTACATAGCAAATTCTAGGACAGCTGGGGCTACAGGGAGACGCTGTCTCCAAAAAGACCAATAATAATAATAATAATTATTATTATTATTTTATAAAAGCAAATGACTTGAAGAGGGCATGTAGGGCAAGGAAGGCACAAAGGCAGAGTGGTGAATTGGAAAAGTATTGTAGAGATGAGACTGTCGTGGTGCACATCTGTTATCCTAGCACACTGCAAAATTGATGCAGGAGGATCATTCATTGGAAGTTCAAAGTCAGCCTTAGCTACACTGCAAGTTTAAGGCCAGCTTGGACCTCAAGCCTGTAACCCTAGCACTTCAGAGGCTGAGACAGGGGGGTTTCATACTGGAGGACAACCTGAGCTGCACAATGAGACCATGTCTCAAAAAAACAAAATAAAACAAAAACTGGGGAAGAAGCAGAGAAAAATAGAGAAAAAATGCTGGAAGTAGAGCCCCTGGGAGAAAGACCTGGCTGGGTACACTTTTCTAAGCCTCAAAGCGGCCCACAATGTGGATTCAGCATCAATCACCTTCTACAGACAGACTGGGGGTCTCAGAGATGGTGCAACACCTACTGTAGTGAGCTGACTAGGGTTCCCTCTGCTTCCTGGGGCCTGGGACCTGGGGTCTGTCTTGGCAATCACATCTTTGCTCATGTGATTATTATTGTTGAGGATTGAACTCAGGATTTTGTATATGTTAGGCAAGTACTCTACCACTGAGCCATGCCCCCAGACCCTCACAGGGGATTTTAGGCTAGCATTCTGCCAATCAGCTATATCCCCAGTCTTTTTGTACCTTTTTGTTTTAATTCAGTTTCTTACTCTGTAGCTCAGGCTGGCCTTGAACTCACTCTGGCTCAGGGAGGCCTTGAGCGTCCATCCTCTTGTCCCAGTTTTCCAAGTAGCTGGGATGACAGGTCTGAGTCATTGTGCTCAGGCAAAGTTTGAGACTACATCACCCTGCATTATTGGGGTGGACCCTACATCAAAGGACAAATGTCCTTAAATGGCAAGATGGGGAGACTGGAAGCTTATGAAGACAGAGGTAGACAAGCCAGGGGATAGAGGGAGCCCCAGCGTACTGAAAGAGGCAGGAATGATCTTCTCCAAAGTCTTCTTAGAGAGTGCAGCTCTGCCCACAAGGCAAGGTCTCACTGTAGGGCCCAGGCTAGTCTTGAACTCCAGATTTTTCTGCCCCAGCCTTCCAAGTTATGAGATTACAGGTACATATCATGCCTGGCCTGAAATCTTTCCTCTTTTACTGCATCAGGCCCTCAGCCTCTGGGCTCTTTTTAGGGGGAAGGGCAAGGTCTCATGTAGCCTAGGCTGGCCTCTAACTATGTAGCTAAGGATGACTTCAAATTTCTGATCCTCCTTCCTCCACCTCTCCAGTGTTGGGTTGGCAGGCATGCATCACCCCACCTGGTTTATACTGCAGGGCTAGAGGTCAAACTCAGGGCCTCATGCATGCTATGCAAGCACTTCATGAGCTGAGCTACATCCCCAGCCCTAGTCTCTGGACCTTTTCATAGACTGTTCATTCCATCTGGAGCTCCCTTTTTCCCTGCTAGGCAAATTCCTACTCAAACATCTACAAACTTCGGGAGACCCCCCCCCCAACACTGAAGAAGTCATCTGGCCCTGCCCTGAGGTAGACAGGGGCCTCCTCTGAGGTCTGGCAGCCACCTGTGCCTCCTCCATTACTGAGCACAGCAGGAGAATCTGTCGCCTGGAGAGAGGGGTGGGAAGGGCTGCGGGTAGAGATGGCATAGATGCAGATTTCACGCCAATTTGTCTCGGTAGCTGGGAACAAAGTTTGGGTCACAAGGAACACATGGGGCTGGCCTTGTTCAGCACTTTCATCTTCTACCTCCCAGCTCCTGTGTGGGAGGTGGCACCACGGAGACTCCCCAGCCTCGAGGTATCCCACAACTCCCATGAAGGTCCTTAGCCCTCTCCCTCTGCCCTCATCTCCCACTGCCTCGGGATCCCATCAAGGTCTTCCCCACTAGGATTTTTGCATTCTGTGTCTTGGGGAGAAGTGAAGCCTCTGGGTGCTTAGAAAATAAAAGTAGGAGCTGGAGAGATGGCTCAGCCGTTAAAAGCACTAACTGCTCTTGCAAAGGACCCGGGTTCGATTCCCAGCACCCACATGGTGGCTACAAACCATCCTTAACTCCAGTTCCAGGGGAATCCGAAGCCCTCTTCTGACCTCTGGGGCATTGCACGACACGGGTGCACTTACTTACATGCAGGTAGTACACTCATACACATAAAATAAAAATAATAAATAAAATATTTA